CTACAAGGCTATGTGCTGATGGTCCTTCGAGCTCTACAAGGCTATGTAATGATGGTCCTTCGAGCTCTACAAGGCTATCTACGGATGGGGCCTCGAGCTCTACAAGGCTATCTGCTGATGCGAGCTCTAGATCACTGGCTGCTGACTGCGCTCTTGTCGCTGCTGAAGCTCAATCAGAGACTGGGGATCCGGAAGATCAGTGTGTTTTACCAGATGCACGTCGAGCTTTTTTCAAGTCCTTCGGAAGTCGTTCGCATGATCAGCCCACGTCGCCAAAAGCCTTGATGACACCTCCTGACCATGCAGGGTCTCAGACAAAGATTTGTGATTTCTCTTTGGAAGCTTTGGTGCAATTCAAAGATGATCACTGTGAGCATTCTGCTCATCAAGTTGTCCCTAAGCCCACCTCAGTGCGGCCAAACTACGACAATCGAAAGAGACGATTTGAGGCAACACAACCACCAGAGAGGAAGACGTATCTTGAAATTGTTTTGGAAGGTCATTATGTAGTTTCTATATTTCGGGGCTGGCTTCCTGACAGGTTCCAAAGCTTTCTTCCCTTTGTTGGCGCCGTCGAATGGTTGAATTTCTAAGGCAACACCTGAATGGCCAAAGCTTGTCCAGAGTCCAGCGGCTGATGCGTCTAAAGTGCTGCCGTTGCAGTATTGGTAACTGCTTCAAGCGTTTCAGGCAAGCAAGCTTGATGCAGTTCCTTACACTGTTCTGGAATCTCAGCAAAACTCTGCAAGATGCCTTTGTTTCCAGGATTGTTTCCAACACCGTTTTGATTCAATAGCTATTCGGATGTCAATCCCTTGTGTGAGTTCAGATTGTTTGACGTCATTCATCTTTGGAACTTAGATTCACAGAGTTGCAGCTGCCCGACCTGGTATCAATGTCTACCGAAAGTGGATGCTGTTGGGGCAGCGGGTGGAATCACGATGTATTGCTGTGATTTTGGGGCTTGGCTGCAACAGGCTACATGCAGCCTACAGCGGTCGTGTGGACCTTCGCTTTCAGGCCTTTGGCTTTGATGCTTGGACTGTAGCCTTTCGCGGTCCGAACCTGCTCGATATGGATGGACCTTACCCACTCATCCAACCCAATACACAGACAACTGCAGGTACGCAAAGTCAAATCTGTGAAAAGGATGGCAGTGGATAATCATTTGATGAAGCTTTACCATGGTGCAGCTGGAATGTTGCCGAACAAGCTTAAACCTTAGACCCCTTACTGGTTGACGTGCAACGCATTCAACTCTAAGTCTCATTTTTCAGCAACTACAGTAGGTTTCGACGTGGTGGTCACCAGCGAAAGCAATCTCCGGGCAGCAGAGATGAGTTGAAGGTTGTCTACAAACAGGTTCCTGAAGAAGAACATTGTGTCTAGACAACGTTAGTACCACACTTTGAAGAACATGGCCCCGAGTATGATACGTTTACCTACTGGCCCTGTTTTTTCTGTTGATTAAGGTTCTGAATCAGAAGATGAACCAATCAATCCAGCAGATGAGTTTCAAGTTCATGGAGAGCGGTTGGAAGATGATGAGAGCTTGCGGTTGCACATACTTGGTGTGCAATCGCTCTTCAGTAAGTCACTAGTCAAGTGAGTTACAAAGGCCCACAACATGTTTCCAAGTGCAACACCCCAATCATTCTGCTGCTTTTGGGAGACGAAGGTACGTGGAATGTAATTTCAGCCGGAGAATTTCAGCTTTGCCCACACGCTGGCTGCCTCCGGGCTCAATCAAGATGCTTTGGCTCGAGTTCCGGGAGTCCAGCCCACACGTATCGTTACTCGACATTGAATGACATTCGGGTTGTTTTGTTGAGTTGGTCCAAAGGTCTCTTCATCACCCGATTGGTAGGTATTTGACGTTCTGGCGCCGATACAAGTCCTTGTGGTCATCGGTACTCAAGTTTTTGCCGCCAACGACACATTCCACTTGTGACCACTGTTTGGACTTTAAGATGAAGTTCCGGCAAGCAACCGACCCTTGGAATATCTCAGAGCAATCAATGTGCAACATGCTTCCATGACATCTTGGTCTTTGGCACATGTCTGATTCTTTGTTGAACACATCACACCACCCACTCACGGAGGACAGCCAAACGAAATACGACCTAGCCCGGCAATACAAAATGCACCTGGACGCTGTATCTGCCGACCGGCAGCTCGAGGAGTTCCTTCAGGCTAAATCATGTAGATTGTAGGACACTGCACATGGCATATTGTTGGGATGCGCCAGGGACAGAACCCGCTGGACAGCGAGTGCGGGACACTTGCGATCCATTGGGATACTTGCCAGTTGTCGGCCGTCGTTCTTTCATTGATTCATTGCAGCTGTGTGCTTCATTGGGCCACTGTCATTATCTGAGATCATCTTAGGACGGAATGGATCAGTCCAAATGGGCGCTGCCAAGGAACCGGCTAGCCCAATCCAGCAAGGAGGTTTCAACACTCATCCGCCCACGGATGAAACTGCACGGGGTTTGGCTGCATGGAGTATCCCTCAACCTGTACGTCATTCATCCAAACATCCCCGCTGACTCTAGTTTGGTAGCAGAGTGTTTCATGAAAGCGCTACAAGATGCTGCTAACATCTTTGAGCAGCACCAGAAGAGCTTCCCCAGGGAATGCTTCATCTGGGCAGCTAGGTTGCAAACAACAATCAGATCTTGTCAGTTCCAGGTTGGTTTTGGTTTTGGTTCGGCTTAGAGGTGTTGGCAGACCGGATCAGGCTGACAACACTGTCAGGGAGAACAAGAACAACTGCAACATGAAGATGATGTGTTCTTTATTGGCCAAACAGAAGATGCGAGTGGGAGGGTTACTCTTCCCGAGAGTAGGCCACAGTCATGGGAGTTTGGGTAACTTTGTCGCAAATTTGTGGTGTTCCTCCGTCGGACTTTGATGAATTCTACTGCAGCACCGTTCTTTTTGCTTACTAGAGCGCCCTGCTGAGACCAACTATACGGCATATTGGCTCAGTGCGTGAGATACATCGACCTTATGTGTGACCCGCAAGACCTCATTGTGAAGTTTGGCTGAAAATTCAAAAGCATCATGACATCGATGACATCAGGTTCGTATTGCACATTCATACTTTCCATAAGGGGTTAGTCTCTTGTGTTGCCCACCAACTAAGAAAAGTTAGAAGCATTCTCGAGCGCATCAACATCAAACAGTGGATTGGGGAAAAGGCAGTCATCAATGTGGAGTGGGTAACCAGCTGCCGACCATGGAAGGATTGGTTCCCTGGCCACCTTAAAACCTTGTGGGATGTGACTTTTTCTTGGGAGGGGTGGACAGTCATCCAACTCGGCCATCTTTCTTTTTGCTCCCAGCGCCGCTCAGGTTTGATCACCATCTTCCAGTCACCTTCCAGGGCGGAATGAAGAGCGACGAGAGTGGTCACCATGCATATCTGTTCATGCTTCGAAAAGGCAAGAGTGGGAAACTCCTAATGAGATTAGTGTTTGCCTCTGATTGAGTGCAATCATCCCTGCCAGATTTGCCCCGGAATATCATCATCCAGGTGGATGTGACAGGCTACAACCTTGAAGCACACGAACTAGACGTTGTGATCCTAGTGAAAAGAACTGCGTCCGATGATTGCCTGGCACAGGACAGTCCCACCAAGTCTTTCAACAAAGAAACAATCTTAAGACATCTTAAGACTAATTGTTGGCTATTGATATTACCCCGCTCCAGCATGAGGAGGCTGTTTTGGCAATGCCCTACAACTTCATGGAGCCAATCTTGAACCGCGCGCCTGAGGAGTCCAGGCTTCTCCGGAAAACCGATCCAAAGAAAGCAAAAACATACCTAGAGTTGGCGCGGGTGCTGTTGCGAAGATTTGCTTCCGACACCAGCGGCCGAGCTGTGGAGTTCTTGGTCGACTTGGTGACAAACCAGACTCCCGGCCACCTGGCCCCCTTGCCGTTTTACACTACAGCTGGTTCCCTGGACACGATCCAAGTTGGCCTTTCAACTGGGGCACTGTACAGGGTTGCTCCAGCTATGGTGTTCCAAGCACGGATTGGGCGGTAGAAGCCAAAAAACTGATAAAGGGAGCAGCAAGCACCATGTGCTTACAATCATTTGGGTATAATGTCTCCCCACTCCATCCAATACCTGGAATTTGACTGCAGCCCTTTTTTGAAGCTTTCAGCTAGTAGGCCGTTTGCTTTACAGTAAAGTCTAGGATGCCTTGTACCGTTGTCCGGAAGCACAACTTGAAGATCGCCACCAAGAATCACCCACATACTGCTTTCAGGCTTGGAGGGGCTTTGTACATCTTTGTACCCATGCCCCTCGCGTTATCTCTTCTCCTTGCCAGGCGGCAGAATGCTCAGGCATGGTGTAGCATTTCCGGCTCAGCTGGGAACTTGATGCTTCACTTTTCCTTGGGTCAGGTGTGGGGCAATGATTTCAAGCTGGAGGAGGAGCCACTAAGATGTGGTTCTTTAAGGTCTGTCAAGGATTGCCTTTCAACTTGCTAGGATACCTTTGAGCAGTACCAATCCCAAGTCTATGAAGACACCTTCCCGGACACCTTTGTGGACACCTTTATTGATCCTGAGCCTCAATGTGAGGCCAGGTTTGTGTGGTAAGAGTATCTTTGGATTGAACATCGGTCGGTCAGGTCATCACCATCGACGACGACAAGGCTGGTAAATGAGTCACCCCCACCCGGGTTTCAGTCAGTCAACCAATCCATATCCCAAACATCACGAATGTCAGGACCCTGCGCCTGGTGAATCCCAGATTGGGTCACAATGGAGGTTGTACGAGGAGGGAATGCACTCACATGCACTCACTGTAAAGGGTAGATCTTGGCATGATCAAAGCTACCGAGAGGCCATCATAGGTTTCAGCTCAGGGTTGCCTCTTTTCTTTTTCTGCTTGCGCAGGATGTCCTGGGGTGCAGCAATTTCAGTGCATCTTCATCAACTGACGTGAAGGCAGGCTTTTCTTTTGTACTGACTTTGAATGATTATATCATGCTCTCACAGGACCCTTTGAGACCACCAGCATGCGGGTGAATGTCAGGTCCTGAAGGCAAACAGGCTTCATTTGAGGATTCTTTCAACTCTGAACTAAGTCACATCCAATCGTGAGTTGCGATTCCTTGATATGGAACTTAGGCCTAACCAAGATGCTGGGAAGTCAGTAGCTAGGCCTAGCTGAAGGCTGAATAATAATTCAGTGTTCAATTCAAATGTTTGGGCATTTGCAAGCATTAGCCGTGAAGCGGCCCTGGCTTTTGAGATCTCGAAAGGCTTGAGTTCTTAGGCTCAGCCGCACTCGTCTCGGAACCCAGTGCAACAAAGAAGCTGACCAGCCATAAGAACAGCGTAGAGCAGCAACGCACAGTGTATGTTTTCAGGCATTGGCTTTGAAACGTTCCTTAGATGTGCTGACTTGCGAGTTCTGAGCTGCTGTAGGCACTATCTATTTGCTCAAACATGGTTAAACAGACCTTAGGGTTGAAGAAAGCTGTCCACTTGGCAATTGGGCCGGGGACACCGAGGACCGCGAGATATATAAAACTTCCCAAGTCCAAAGATGATGTTCTATGATGTTCTATGACCAATATCTATCTTCCAGTTGTTGGCCATTAGATCCATGGTTGTCCAGGACCAATCGCCAGAAGGGTGCCCACTGCGCTCAGAACCAAAACTCCGTGGTGAGGCGCTTTCCAACCATTGGGTTCCGATCAAAAACTAGCTCCCAATTCTTGCAGGCCTACATCCAGGACTTTGACCTCGAAGCAGGATGGACCAAGCACCAACAGGTGAGCAACTCACAGGGTCGTTTTTTAAGCTAAAACTAGCTCCCACTTCTTGCAGGCCTACATCCAGGACTTTGACCTCGAAGCAGGATGAACCAAGCACCAACAGGTGAGCAACTCACAGGGTCGTTTTTAAAGCTAAAACTAGCTCCCATTTCTTGCAGGCCTACATCCAGGACTTTGACCTTGAAGCAGGATGGACCAAGCCCCAACAGGTGAGCAACTCAAAGGGTCGTTTTTAAAGATAAAACTAGCTTCCAATTCTTGCAGGCCTACATCCAGGACTTTGACCTCGAATCAGTGTGGACCAAGCCGCAAGACGTGGGCAACTCAACCGGTTGTCTGTCAAACCAATCAATCTTGTACCAAGATCCATGAACCCTTAGCCAAGCTGCGCCAAATCCAAAACCATTTCCCTTCCGGCCTCAGGACGGATAGCGTTTTCGGGTCTTTGAAGAGGCCGCTCACCAACATCCACTAGGCGGTCCGTTTTTCTGGCTGCATGACGCCAGGTGTGTGCAAAGGGTATTGTCGCTACGGCCTTACCCATAAAACGTTTCCATGAGGTGCAAAGATTGAGTTCTAGATGCTTTCAAACAGCTCAGGAGTTGTTGGGGCCAACCGGCTCCACAAAAGGCTTCATCTTCTACACCTCCAACCGCCCAAGCTAGGAGGGGTTTGTATATAATGTACATAACTCTCTGTTGCTGTGATTGTAAATCACTCCAAGTGGGGATCTTGTCACTATGAACCCTCCTCACTTGTTTTGAGCGGCAGGAAGAAGACTGTCTTGAAGAAGAACCTCAAGGTTTCCACCAAGAGGCCGGGCATGTCTAGTCGGGTTCGTGACAGACTTCAGTGAGTCGGTCAGGAAAAAGTATCCCAAATGCACGGTCTATGCAGCCACGCCAGACCACCCCTCGGGCTTTGTGAGCGTGCAAGATGCTTTCAATTGGCCCACAGTTTTTTTGAATCGTATTGCTGCAAGATTGGGCCCACAATGGGTGTGCCAGCGTTTGGCAGAGTGGCGGTGGAACTTTTCGAGCGCATTTTCAGGGGTAGGTGCCCCTGAATCTGCCACAGACTCAGTCAGCCCCCTTCGATTGCAGATTTGTGTCAAGCCTCTGCACCTTCACTTTTGGACCCCCGGAAAAAAGGACCATGTTCAGGGTGTAAAAATGTAAAGACCTCACGGTAGTGCTCAGGGTACCTGGTAATTGGCTGAGGCCTTGGCATCGCTTCAGTCCGCAGCATCGAAGCTCCTTTGCACCCACGGGTTCGAGCCTGCCAACGTTTCAGACCCGCACATTCATACGGAATACGCTTGCGAGATCGATGGTTCCTGCCAGAGCGTGTTAGCCCGAACATACCATGTATGTTGTTTCAGTGACATTTTGTCATTTGAACCAACGAAGAAAACCCAGTTCTGTGTGACTCATCAAAAGCACTGCCGTGTCAACAAGAAGCACTTGAAAGTGAAGAACAAGATACGAAACTCGGCTGTAAATGGCATCTTGAAATGTTTCGTTGCAGTTTCATTGGAATGACTAGGTTGTGGCCTCTCGACTTGTCTTGGCATGTCATACACCCCGTTCCTGGCCTTCAAACCAAAATGAACCCTCTCGGACCCTCGCTCAAGGATTGAAGTTCCACGCTGCCGGCGCTGACCTCAAGTTGAGCCAAGCTCAACCACTTCAAGGATTGACGTTGAAACTAGTGCAGTGCAGCTTTTGGCAATTTTCCACTTTGGGTTCACTTTTAACAAGTGTCCTGGGGGCCCGTTTTTTAGATCAAAAAACGGGTCCCCAGGTCACTTGTCAATACTAAGAAATTCACCCAGCTCCAAAGCCGAAACCAAGCGGAAAATTGCCAGCAGCTTTGGAATCCTTCAAAGTCAACAGCTTCAGTATGCTTCAGTAATGACCAGTTTTGAGATTGAACTGATGAGGCCCCATTTGCGTCAGCTTCAGCAAGGCTGGGAAAAGGTTGGGGACCGAAGCTCCGAGCTACAAGTGCCACACAGCCTTCTATCGGAAGATTGCTCCTACAAGCGATGCCATGTTGATAGAGAACGTGCCAGAATACCCAGAGTCTTTGATCAAGCAGGAGTTGGGGCCCGGCTATTCAGTGCGCAGCATTGTGATAGACCCACGCATCCTGGGCATCCCCGCAGCGCGCACTAGGCGCTATGCCATCGCATGGAGGCACAGCAAGGTGAAGTGGAGGCCAGAGATTAATCTGGAGGACGTGGTCGCGACAGTGACTGCAAACTTGGTTGGTGATGCATCAATGTTCTGGTGGCAAGACTTGCCCATTTCAGACCTTACCCCAGCTCAAGTAGTTTGGCTGCAATGAATGGTTAAAAGTTCTGTACTGGAACCAGTTTCGTACTCATTGCTTGATTGGCTTTGTTTTGGGTCAGTCTGATAGGACACATCCCAATGTGTTACTGTCAACCTCTTAGATCTTTTGCCGAGGAGAAGGTTCTTGCCGACTACAGAGAATTGCCAAAGGTCATCAAGTGTCCTGACCTTCAGCAATACCCTTGCAATGGCCGTTCCCGGGGAGAATGCCGAGACAAAAGCCTAATGACGCTAACAACAAACTCGGCCCATATCTACAACGAGGAAACCTGTCGAGTCGATATATGATTCACAATCATCCTGAGTCACACCCCGATACTTCCATGTATTCGTAATTGGTTCGGATCCCACATTCCAACAACCGTCCTGCAGGACAAGAAGCGCTTTCTCAGCGGGGAGGAGATGCTGGCATCGCAAATCCTGCCGATCAACAAGCAACAGGCGGATGTGTGTGGAGCGCCAGTGCTCCAGCTTGATGGGTTGCGCAACGCAGCGAAGGCCAAAGCAGCGGGTAATTCAATGAGTGTACCATGTGTAGGGCTGATGTTGCTAGTGGCCGCTTTGGCACTGGAAGTGTCTTGAAAGATACTTGAAAGATCTTGACATCAATTCGGCTGCATTGCAAATGCACCGTACAACCCCTTGACTGTTTGGAGAAAGTTCTTGCCGCCCAAACCTTGATTCAGAAACAAAGTCATACACGTTGCAAATGTTTTGACTAATTGTCTCATGAGTTCAGGAGTTTCTGCAGGACTTTGCTCATTTGTGGTTCCGTTTGGTTAGACGTGGCCCCTCCAGCCATGCCCAAGCGGTCCTCAAATGATTCAGACGGCTTCAAGCCGTTGAAAGTCATGAAGGAGTCAGTGCCTTGGGCAGCTGCACTGGTGGAGCACGCACAGACACTCAGCCTAGGGACCAGTTGGGACTCATGCCTCTGAACCAAACCAGACCCCTTTTGGTCACATGAGGATGGACTCTCAGGAACGGATTTGAGATCGACGCCGGTGAGCACCCTGTGAAAAGCCTGATGGATATGATGAACGATGGGCTATTCGAACCCATTCAACACTGGCTCCATGAACAAGATCCTCACTTTCCAGCCATTGGTAGCCACAAATTCCCAGCCCCTGGGTTCAATTGAGGATAGGCACTGAATTGTGTAGCTAAGTTCCATTCGTAACAAGCTCCATTCCTCCCTGGGCTTAGTTTGGTGATTAAGGCCAGTTCCAATGATGTAGTTGATGTTCCCTTGCTCGCCTTCGTCTACAAGCCACCTGTGGAGGGACTCCCTATCCTCCATTCGTGGGTGAGTGTCTTGAAGGACATCCTCTATCGTGGCTTTGAGAACTGGAGAGAAGTCCTAGAAGTGAAAACAGTGACCGAGCTCATCCCTCATGACCAGCCCTACACCTTTGGCCAGGTCCATGCCGTTAAGGGAAACGGGAGGCTGAGCATGATTCTTTGGGCTGTGGTGCACACCTACACAAATCTTCGGGACAGACTGTCTGCGGAGGAGAAACTTGACTTTGCCAGGCCCGTCTGGTCATCAAGAGTGTGAGTGAAAAACACCCGTAATATATAAAAGGGTCGTATTTTAGCGGTAAAAATCTCAAGTTCCCCAACGTGAGGGTCCGGGTGGGACCGTCGTGTTTGGCCAGCACCCGCAATACACAAGAACCCAAACCCACAATAGCTGGAAGGCCCCCAGCGTGAGGGTCCCGGTGGAACCGTCGTGTTGAGCCAGTGTGGGTAGCCTGACATATTGTGGCGCAATAGCTTCAGAGTATTGAATGGGCCCCTCCAACGTGAGGGTCCGGGTGGGAGCGTCGTCTTGTAACTTAATAAACTTGAGGTCCCAGAACATGACGCTTTCATCCGAGTCCGATCTTTGCAATGCCTGCCAGGTGGCTGAAATCAGTCTACACCATCAAGTGCAGGTTCAGCACTGCCTCACTGAATGAGTGCGTGTGGAGGCGTTTTCAAGTGAATGACCAGCAGGCTGAACGCCAGAAGAAGAATGCTCTTCAGCGATGTCTAGCTTTTGCAAGCAGGGCTGAGGAACTCCAAGCGCGGGACTGGCTGCAGTTGCATGTTTTTGAAGGCAAACCAGTCTAAGAATCCATTGTCTGTAAAGTAGTCAGAATCCAAAATAAGCTGACTTTTTAAACGACCACCCACCAACACGGACCCGACCATCAGGACATAGATTTGGACTTTAAATCGGCATTTCTGCGTGCAGTTGACGAATATAACAGTTACGGATCAGCTGTGTTCTCTACAAAGCTGCGGGTGGATGCCTCAACAGCTCTTCAGCTGTACGGCTTCAAGGTTACTTTGACAAAATTCAACAATTCCTTGTGCCTCCCTACATCCCCATACTTTTCTATCCATTGTTGATCATTGTTGAATATTATATTCACAACTTGTATGGTGTGTTATCGCCCAGTTGTCTTCTTGCTGCTGCAGGTAGGCGTTGCTCCCACAGTCTGGGCTGAACTGGAGAAGCACCTACACTTCTACCGGTTCGATGCGTCAGGCAAGACTTTGACAGGGTGCTTATGTTTTATTTGTTTGCATTGAACTCTCACTAGGGCTATACAGTACAGAATCTATCAATCCTCGATGAATATAGAGCAAGGAAATCAATAATTATTGCCTATTGACCCTTTTTCCTATTAATAAGTAAAATACTTACCTGGTCACCTGGTCGTCGGCCCCCCTGCAGCCTTCAACAACCAGCTGCTTCTCGACGGGCGTTGGATGATTGGTGGGTGCAGTGGGGACTCAACCGTCAAAAGCATGCACCTGTGGACGGATATCTTGACCATGAACCAGGACAAACAAGAGTGTTTCATCAGCCGGATCTTGATGCTCCATGAGATTGCCACCAAGCAGGGTGGCCGCGCCAAAGTCCCTCGACTTTCTTTGAATGAATGGAACAGTGTAGCGGACCAGTTCTGTTTCTTGGGGCATTGTTTGAATTACATGGCGATGAAAATGGATTCCCATGGCAACCGCATGTTCAACGACGCCTTGCTGACTGGCATTCTGAAGCGCGTTGTCGAGGGGAATCTTGCCCTGACTAGTTACATGTGCAACACAGGTTGAAAGGACATAAAGGGTCCACACCACCCTTTAGTGGTTGGGTCCTTTCAACCTCTGTCGGTTGTACCTTGTTACGGTTTGTTTCGCACCCCTACCCAAAACAAAAAATTGTCTTTCCCGGATGGAAACAACATCTTAGGGACTATCTCTCTGACGCTGACACTGCTCTTGCTGCTTTGGACCCCCAATTTGATGTCGAGGAGACCTCCATGTTCAAAGAGCACAAGCCCGAAGAGGTGGACCATGTTAAACAGAGAGTGGCCCACGTGGATGCCCAAATGACGCTTCTTAACCAAGACGCTCGCAAAGCTCAGTTTGAGGCCGACTGCTTGGCCCTTGCTCGTGACCTCGCACAGGTTGGAAGCATCTACCAGCAGGTGGAGAAGAACGATCGTGGAAGGAGACATGAGAAAGTGGCCCATTTGAGGGCGCAGAATGTGATCGGAGCCAGCATTGTGAATGAGTTCATGCTGGCAAATCTAGCTGTTCACTCTGGCGTTGTCAAGGACCAGTTGGAAATCGTGACTCAGGCCACATGTCGGAACGTACTTTAAGATCTACATACAGGATCATACAGGTCTACATGCTATGTATATAATAGGCCAAGTTATAGGCTGTATATGGTCTCATATGGTTTGATAAGGGTTTCGTGGTCTCATCTGTTAGCCTGATCCCTGAACTTGAAAACCCTGCAGTTTCTCCAGCGATTCCCTGATCTGCCCTGCATCATATGGTGTGATCTTATGAAGTGTGGCCGGATGACAGCCACCGAGATGGATGAGTTCACCACCGTTATCAACCATGTCTTGCACACCCGGTACAAGGCCTCCGCAGCAGTGGTCATAGCACCATTCCTGGTATCCGAGAAGCATCAAGGGTACCGTGGTCAGTTGAGGACGGGATGACTGACGGGATGTTGCTGTTTGTTCTTGTCACTGGGCCCACAGGTGGAAGAGGATTGTCTTGACTAGGTACCGGGTCAGTTGAGGACGGGACGTTGCTGTTTCCGTTGTTACTATCACTGGGCCCACAGGTGTAAGAGACTGTGTAAGAGGTCTTTTAACTAAATTTGCTTACTTTTCAATGTTTTTACCTCGCGCGCAGGGCTTGGGAAGCCAAGTTCGATGCCAAATCGTTCTTTAGTCAGAACATTGCAGTGCGATGCGGGCCTCCACCGGCCAAGCGTCGTGTCCCCATCCAGTTTGATGGCTGGTTTTTGATGTCCCTTGGCTCCTAGTTCCTACTGGTCGGATGGGTCCGGAGAACCCGTTGATCTCTTGGTCTTGGAGTAAGGTCCGACAAAGCCCGGGATGACAACTGCTTCAACTCCTGCCAGCTCCTGTTGGACAGGCGCTGAATCAGTCCCATGATTCATAGTGCAAGTAACATCAAGTAACCATGGACATATCGCACACCTTGTCTCCCCCCGTGTCTGTCCTGCAGGGCTACCAGAGGGGAGGTCCCATGGCCAGCAGAGTCCTCATACGTGGTACCTGTGGCTGAACGAGACAGCCTTCCTCATGCGAGTGAGGGGCCGAGGCCTGAACAATCCTCTATATGATGCACTATATGATGCATCAGTGTGTCGTGTAGTGCGTTGAGAATCAAGAGAGTCTTGTTCACACATATCACTGTCAGGAGTCTGAGCGAAGTACAGGAGGTTGCCCAGTTCCTATCGGGGGAAGCACTTCCAAGAATTGTTCTGGGATCCGTGCTGCAAAAATCTAGCGCGGGCTCCAGTGGTTCAACTGTGGGTATCATCAACCTGACTCCGTATGATGCGTGGTTGGAGAAGACATGCCACAAAGGATTTGATGGGATCACCTTCAAAACGGTCTCCCTTTCCAAAAGCTTGCCAACTACTCAGTATGTTGAGAAAACCTTGGCCTTGGACCTGCTGGAGGACCGATTCTTGAAAATGCTTTTGATGGAAATGGTTTTTAGGCAAGACTTTCAGTGAGTGAAATATCAACACCACACATCCCCACACATTTCTCCCACCAGGAGTGGAAATCTGGCAAGTCATCGAACTTTGCCAGTGCCAGGCCGTACGAAAAGGAGCCCCCGCCGCCGCCTCCAGGCCACGGTGAAGTTGACCCCACTGCGTATCCTATGAGGCTGGTGAAGCTGGACTTCGATGTGAACCCGTCCAAGAAAGGATGGGACAAAATCAAGCTCAGCATCCCACCAGCTACAAGAGGCAGGCACCTCGAGGACCCTGTTTTCGGCCCAACATGGAAGGAACTTTTGGCAGACTTTGATTCCAAGCATTTTGGCCTAACCATCCAAACTACGTAAACATGGTTGACCACATTCAGTGAATAGTAGCAAACTTTGTCCTTTTGAACCATTCTAGCTCCTGGTGTTTGTGCATCGGCACAAGGTATGGGAAGGGGAATGCAGCAGAGATGCAAGCTGCTTTCATTGCTAAGCAAGAGAAAGATGCGCCCCCTCCCATGAAGATTGTTCCATGGGAAGAGCCTAGTACCATTGAGTTGCTCATGGATCGCTACGTCATCGAAAACAAGATCTCAGGGAGATCACCGGGAACAACACTCATTCTGGTGAACGCGAAACGTCGGGATGGAACTCTGGACCAAGTAGGGCCTGATCAACAATTCAAGTTGTTTCTCGTAGCTTGGTTCTCAACAATCATATGATTTTTTTCAGAAAACATGTCAACATATGATACAGAACCGATATAAGTTCCTACTCCAAAACGGCAAACCCAAGGCCGCCCATTGCAACGTCACCATCGATACAAATGACTTTGTCATCGCCCATGGCTCCTCGAAGTGGGTCAAGAGCGAGAAGGTCGCCCAACTTCAACTCCAGAACAAGAAGAGTCATCCTGGCATTTTTGTGCATTGTCACACTCTCATTGCTTGCCTGCATGCTGTAGTGCCCTAGCCAACTTAGCAATGAGCTTGGCTCTTACGCGAAGCCCAGTGTGATTGACGGTGCGTGCAGGTTGGGAATTTTTAACTCTTAAGCATGTTGGGCGGTCGTCGCTTGCTTTCGAGGCTCATGGCCAGTGGCTTCCGCTTCCCCTTCATACGCAAAAGGCTTGGATCCAGTAGTGGGGGCACCAGGTCAGTATTTTAAACTGCATAGCTGCATAGTGGAATAGCTTGTCAAGGCTTCTGCATTTACTGTCACTATGCTTGCCTTTTTGGCTGACCATACACGGAACTAGGTTTGCTTACGAGCCAGCCCTGCAGCATTTGACGGCGGAGCAATTTTGTGCCTGAATGCTTGTTGTGTCCTGAAAGCGCTTTAAAGTCTGTGATAATTTGCGATGTTTCCAAATGAGAATGCCTTAAGGCCAGCAGTGAAACCTGTCGCAATCATTCCTTTTCAGTCTTGTTTGTGGTACTCAGCAAAGGGCAGACTCCTGAACCTGTTTTAATCAAGCGGCTTCACATATGGGCTACTATGATATAGAACGAGTGCCGCAGGAACATTGCACGACCTCTGGACCATTGGCATCGCACATGTCAGAGGCACAGAATCAGAGTAGAACTTTGTCAGCGTCCTTGAACTTGTTTGAGTTGGAATGGCATTACAGTAACTTTAGACCACCGGAGAGGGTTTACCTTGAACTTTGTGTCCTGCTTCATTCTTCCCAATCCTGTCCACAACACAAGCCGATCCTAGGTACCAAACCAAAGTTGTTCTCGCGCCCACTTAGGTGTCAATGGAAAAGCTCTGATGGGACTCTCAGGCCGGTCTCGCAAGAGTCACCTGCCAATGCATTGTGCTGGAACACCACCCACTAGACTGGCCTTTTTTGTGGCACAAGGTGCAAACCATCCGGCGCAACCTCCTCATGGAGCCTCCCAGTGAAAAATTGTCCGTTCATCGGGCTTGCATTTTGGTCAAGACTTGCTTTGTTTTCCATTAGGGTCTCGGCACCCACAAAAGCTGTGACTGTGACTTGCTTCCAGGCGTGGCCCAAACTGACAGTCAGTCCACTTCACGCCAACCCTTCGGTCGGTCCTGCTAGCGAGATGTCGGCGTTGGAGCGCCTCATGCAGTCTCATGGCTTTGCGAAGGAGTTGAGTCTTTTTGAAATCAAGTTGGGATTCCAGGTGGCCGGTGCCAAGGCTGTCGACTTGTCATATTGCCAGGATTTCGCCCAGCTCACCGAGGAGAGCCCGTCCTATGCCATCACTCCCCCAACCCGGGTTGCGTCCTCAAACACTCAATTTTCTTAAGTGTGACAAGTTGGGTTGGTCAGCCAAATCCTTGTTAACTTGTACCTCTCAGCTAGTTCCGTCAAACACGTTTGGAATAGATCACCACAGGCTGGGCTGCCAAGCCCACTTTCAGCTGCTCTGGACGGAGGGCGCCAGCCTGCAAAGGAGGCAAGCCATCAATGTATACAAACTACTCCCAAGCTCTATTCTATGCTACCTTGTCATGCCTTTTGTTCTTGACCAACGCAACTCCCATGACTCCGAGGTTAGAGGAAAGCGTATCGCCATCGGTTCTGTTGAACATCCTGCACCTAAGAAGCTTCACATGGAATATGGTCGAGGGGTGGAGCGGACTGGTGAGGGAAACACGGTGGAGAAGATGCTGAAGACTGAGGAAACCAAAAAGCTTGAGGACTTCAAGCCTGAGGACGCCCACCCTCATGAGGATCCCACCAACAAGCGTGAGGACTTGAAGATTGTCAAGCCTGAGGACGCCCACCTTCATGACACCAACAAGCTTGAGGACTTCAAGATTTTCAAGCCTAAGGATGCCCACCTTCATGACAACAAGCCTGAGGACTTCAAGCCTGAGGAGGCCCTTCACGGTGGTGAGACCGACTTCAAGCCTGAGGAGGCCCTTCAAGGTGGTGAGATCGCCAAAAAGCCTGAGGACTTCAAGCTTGAGCAGCCCCTTCATGCTGAGGAGGCCCTTCACGGTGGTGAGAAAGCCAACAAGCCTGATCATGAGGACTTCAAGCCTGAGGAGGCCCTTCACGGTGGTGAGAAAGCCAACAAGCCTGAGGACTTCAAGCCTGAGGAGGCCCTTCACGGTGGTGAGACCGCCAACAAGCCTGAGGACTTCAAGCCTGAGGAGGCCCTTCATGCTGAGGAGGCCCTTCACGGTGGTGAGAAAGCCAACAAGCCTGATCATGAGGACTTCAAGCCTGAGGAGGCCCTTCACGGTGGTGAGACCGCCAACAAGCCTGAGGACTTCAAGCCTGAGGAACCCGAGAGGCATTCACCAGAAACTCCTGAGGAGGTCAGGAAAGAGTTGGCTTTGCCCCTGGAGGGCAGCTCAGCAGCCGTGGCTCCATCCCCACCTGCATCTACGACTCCTCACGTTCCGATGACGATTTCAGGATCCAACCAAAGGAATGATCCGCCAATGTCCGAAGAACGGCGGAAGGCTTTGGATTCTCTTCTGCAGGCAGCAAAGAATGAGAAGAAGGAGGAGAAGAAAGCTGCAAAAGCAGCCAAAAGCAAAGCTAAGAGCAGGGCAAAGCAGGCAGCAAAGAAGAAACCTACGAAAAGAGAAAAGGAGGAGAACCCGTTGGACTCAGAAGAAGATCTCAGCAGTGGTGAGTTGCCCTCTCCGAGCCCTTCGCCAGAGCGTGAGGAGGCCGACGCGTGCTTTTGATGGGCACCGCTGCATCCTCATCACACGGTGAAGTGCATAAAACTGTCTTGGACACAGCTACCATCTTCACAAGATATTCGTTATGACCAAATTCACGAACATCTAACATACGCATATTAATTTTCTTTTCACAGAATGCCATGCCAGCCCTCTTTTAGACTGCACATTCTGGCTGGCTATCGTTCGTCAGGAAAAGACAAGTTCAAGGAAGCCTGCTTTGAAGCGTCGGGCGCCACAACCTGAGCCCAACACGGAGTCCACTAAGAATTCAAAGACCAGGCCAAAGGATGACCAGAAGACAGCAGCAGCAGTTGACAGGTCGGCTAGGCCAAAGGATGACCCGAAGACAGCAGCAGCAGTTGACAGGTCGGCTGCCATCTTGAGAGCCGTGGGACCACCCATCGCTGCGCCAAAAGCCCGTCGTCAGAAGAAGGCTGCTGCTACTGATGGCGCGGCCCCTGCACCGTCCAATGCCGAGCAGGGTGCCGGGGAAGCCAAGAAGGTATCCTCAAAAGCCAAGGCCAGCGCAAAGTTGGCAGTTGGAAACGAGGGGGGCACAGAAGTGAAGAAGGATGACAGCGCTGAGAAGGTCGATTCAAAGGCTGAGAAGAAAAGCAATCAAGTGAAGACTCAGTCCAAGAAGGATGGTGAAGCGTCAAGTTCCAACAAGTTTTCAGAAGAAAAGGACGCTCACAAAGATGATGTGAAGGAGGCTGAGGAAGACAAGGTTGAAGCTGCCAAGTCGAAGTACTCGTTGCCGCCCAAGGCTGCGAAGAACCAAAGGAAGACCAAGAAGGGTAAGGATGAGGCAAAGGACAAGGACGAGGAGAAGACAAAGGATGCGGAGAAGGCGAAAAGAAAGAGCAAGAAAGTGGCTGCTAACCAAGACCAGAAGAAGGCCTTTCATTACTTCTGTTCACATGGGTTTGACTTACTTTGGAACACATTGGACAACAACATGCTCACTACCTATTGAAACCCGTCCAAAGTACCACCATCATCATCATGGTTTACACACTGCCCACAGGCTGGTCTTCCTGGGCTGAAGGCTATCTACTGGCAGCACATCACCGAATCGAAAGAGCGGCTACAGAAGGAAAACCCTTCTGCTAGCAAGACCCAGGTTTTGGAGATGGCTCGCAATGAGTGCCAGCCTCATTTTCGTGAACACACTATTCCTCACGTTTGTTCACGCATGCCCTACCCTACTGGCATGAGCCCCCACTTTCTGTGAACTGTCAGGTGGAAGACTCATCCGGAGAGGGTGAACAGCATGAAGAACATGAGCAACTCAGAGCTTTCCCGAAGGCGCCTCGTCCCATCGAAGAGGCCACGGAAGGTCGAGGCCGCCGAATGTCCTGCAGAGCCAGAGCAGCAGGCTGAGGTGGCTGACAATGATCTGGCCTCGAATGATGAGGGTTCTGAAAGCGAGCCCGGTGAGAATTATGATGAGATTTCTGAAGCGAACTGATCCGTTTTGTTCAAGGGGTTTGTAGCAACCGGGCTTTTGGAAAACTTCAGCACCAAAACCTAACTATTTTCTCTGAGTCTGAACAGTTTGTTGTGTGACTGCCCTGTGGTTGCTGTAGTTGGGATACTACTTTCATGGCACTCACAGTAGTGCCAACACTACTTAGGTTTCAAGGGGAAGCGTGATCTTTGCTAGACTCTGGAAACAGGATCGTCTCTGCGGGAAAAATCAATCGATTTTGAACTTAAGGTCCAGGTCCACATATTCTTATGAGATGGAACAACATGGAACTTGTCATTGTATGACATGGATATGAATGGAACTCAAGACATAGAACTTATCACTGTATGCAAGTGTTTGCCAGGTGAACTTTGCAGAATCATGGCAGTACGCTGGACGAGTGATGAGGAAGAAGTCGTCCTGGAGGTGCCGGATGAGAGCGGCAAGTCAACTGTCGACTCCTCGAGGTCGCCCTGGCGGCAGCTTTTGGAAGAGATGGAAAACGCTGGAGTGACCGACACGAGTGTGAACGGTCATGACCTTGTGGCATCCACCATGGCACCGGCAGTTGATCAAGGTAGGGTCCCATTATTGGAAACAACATACAACTCAACCATAATCCTTGGATTCTCAATTTCAGCCCGTTCCCATTTGGCTTAAATTCTCAAACCAATTGCAGTCAGGTGGAACGCCCAACTATTTGATCAAGCCCAAGGCTACTCCGGTCTACTACCAATACAATGAGGTGTCGTCCAACTGCAAGTACACAAATGTGGCATCGTTCTTCAATGCCGATGCCCCTTGTTTGAAGTTTCTGTTGATGGACCTGGGGGGACCACGCCCTGACAGCCTTGACATGGCTCCATGGCAGCGGGACCATGGCTCAACGCGCTCAAACTCAGGAGCTGGATGGTTCCAAGACCCTCACCAAGCTGTGGCGTGTGGCCTATCTGCGGGCAGCCAACGAGTCCCTGCAGAATTGTTATGTTACGTTGCACTAAGTCCCCTTCTTTTTTCAGTTGAATCCGTTTGGCATGTGGCATATCTCGAGCAGGCCATGAGTCCCAGCAGAATTGTTATGTTGCACTAAGTCCCCTTCTTTTTTCATACTGCCACTTCAATCTGTTTGGCCTGTCCTTGCTTAGGAGATTTCACCGCGTGGCTTGGCAAGAAGCACTAACTAGTAGTTAGTTTGGAATCATGCCGTCCAAATTGGACAATTGAACGACTTGTGTCTTCACGACCAGGCAAGCCGCTATATTTCTTCAAACAGCCTCTGGATCTCGATGCAGGGAGTGTGATTCGATTGGTGTAGGGTTGCGAAGTGGATCCAAGTGGCTACTTTTATGTTGACTTGAGAACTAAGAACTTTTGGTTGAAGAATCTTAGGAATTTCAGTGTGCCATCTTGAACAATACAATACTTCCACGGGTGGCCCACTGGAGACACTGAGATCGCTGATTTTGATCCCAAGATATGGCCATAACACTTGGCACAGAGAGCAAAAACAGAGCGAGCGGTGAAGTGCGCCTTATCCTTCCGCATGCCTCCATCAGCCCCCCTACTCTCAAACACAATGAAACTACCCTCGATTGTAGCGAAATGTCCTTATATATAATTGCAGGAAACAATCAGTCAGGAAGCCGATGGTGCAAGTCTGCAGCCAGCGGTGCATGCGCCGTGCATGCGACCCTTGGGGGTTTCTCTGAGTGAAAAAGCCGTCCCCTTGCACGCATGAATCATGCCTGCTGCTGTGTTTGAAACGTATCGATACTTAACATGTGAAGAACATCGGTGTTTGACATAAGCACAACACATATAGTATCATAGGAGCATCTGGATGTCTGGAACTGTTGTGACGGGTGTTCACCAATTCCTCACAATGCGACAAAGTCGATGGTACCAGGCTGAGACCCCTGCAAGTGGCCGGGTTGGACGTGCCACAATTTTCGCAAATCCTGGGCGGGAAAAAATCAAGAAGAGCGTGGACCGGGGTCACTGTATGGGGTATAAATGCTTCAACGATCTTTAAAGGGTTCGTCTGAACATGAGCATCTGCCAAAACTTGTCAAGTAGAGGACATGATTCAGCAAGGTGATCGCTTTTCAGGGGGTCCTATCGTTTCTGCAGGTGTTAGCCAAATTTGTGCTAAATCATCTAAATGAGGCAGTGCACACATGAGGTTGCCGGCTGCCACAGCCACCGTTTCGTTGAGTTTCTCCACTCAAACCAGCATGGGCTGTAAACAATGCTTATCAAACACTACAATGACTTAGCTATATAGCCATAGCATTCCATAGCTATTTCAAGTGGCGTGACTGGAGCTTAAGAAAGTTGGCTGGAAGAGTCAACGGACAACTTTAACGGAAGCCTCTTAGGCCTCTGCAGGGCGGTGCCTCTACTATCCCTATTTATTCAGGGTGTTTTCAACAGAAATGCCAGCCAATGTCAGGAACCACAGATGGGGGTGGTGAATAGGCACAGCGACACACCGCCAAGGGGTCGTACTAAGCACATACCGGACTTGTGGCCCTCCTTCCTTCCGGATCGTGAAGCAGTGTCGGCACCGACAGACATGTTGCACAGGAGGAAATCTGGCACCAAAACCAATCCAATTGAACAAGAACTGAAACATGGTCACAACGCTGCCTATGGCCACCTGGAGTCCAAAGACATGTTATATGCACGCTAGGAATGCACTAGCAAAGCAAACAACGGAGATACATAAATCAAGTCCCATAAGCTCCAATACAAAACACACAAAAAAGAAACAAACGGTCTTGCTGTGGACCCTAAGCTGCCGGCCAGTTCGGCCCAGCTGAAGTATCGTGCTTGGCCTGAAGTAGCGCGCACGAGATCATCGGGGTTCAACTCTCCGGGCAAAACATCCCTTATCATCCCTTCCATTCCAACTTTCGCACTTACAAGGAACCCAACAACCCAAACACTCAATGGGACTGGCAGAATTACCTACATCATTGAGCTCATGGATGAATGAAGAAATCCTAATGTTCCAGTCCCAAACAGGAAAACTGTCTGGGAAAGTGTTCATTTTGCGACAAACAAGGGCGCCGCCAAGGACGCCACACCCATCCTCTGTGTGACTTGGCCTGATGCGTATTCTGCACCACCGGTGTTGGTGCTCCACCTGATGCTCGTCCCAGGCGAGAAGTGCTCCAGGTGAGAAAACAACACATGCTTTGACGCATTATAGAGGACTAAGTTGCTGTCTTTCTGACTTACAAACTGCTGTACCGGCCATAATAAGAATGTTTGTCTTGACTTATAGCTCCTGTTGGTGGGGGTTGCGAACCAGTGGCGTGCTCATGCAAACAAAAGGCAACATAACTTATTGCAGATTCAATCAAATTGTCATACACCCCTCCTCAAGTAGAAACCATGAAGAGCTCCAACAAAAGGCCAAACCCCGTTCCTGTGCAAAGGCAAAACATCACGTGTTCATTGGTTTTGATGCTTCGTCCTCTTGAAGATCGCGAGAAACATGCCTGGCATGATCAACACTGTGTCGGATCACATCAGAAGCACTTGGGTGAGGAGACCCGAAAACGACCCGCCCGAGGTGAGCGCCGAGGTGAGCGACGGAAAGCGAGACCGACCCGGTGGGATATCGCTCCATCCGGTGACTCCAGGGTCCACGCGATCCCACATTGGCTGCGCTTGGCATGAATCTACATCGCATGAGGGACTGGGGGACTGCTGCGAAGAAGTGGGATGGGCTGCAAAGAGGCTGCGAAGAGGCTGTGAAGATCTGCTTGGTGTTGGTGGATCGTCAAGGGATGCCGAGGGCACAACTTGACATTGAAGAGAGGCATGGCCTCATAGACTAGCTATAGATGCTTCCAAACAGAGTGCTTGACAGTCTGACATTCTGGTGGGCTTGTAAAGGCACAGTATATATGCACATGGAAATAAATTGGGTATGCACTCTTGAGGTAAAAATGTATCCAAGATTCAGCCTCCAGCTGGGCCAAGGTAATTGCTCGATGTATCTTCTATGTGTCGCCTTGATCAAGAAAACGGCGCACGTACGATGGCCGATGCTGCAGCCACAAACAAGCATTCTTGCCTCCCGAAACGGTCCAAGCAGCAAAGGGAGGGATTTCTAGCCAACACGCCCATTAACCAACCAACTGTGCAGGTCAGTTGCTGGCAATAACATACATGAACTTTGAACTTTCCTTCCGTAGGGTGGGACATCTTCTTCCATCAAAAGGACTTTGAATACTCTAGATAAGACATGCTCTTGATGTGGTCGTATCTGGTCCTTGAGCGCATGTTAAAACAAGGCCATGTCTTTTCACAGACTGTTTCAGATCCTACTCCTGCGGCACAGGGGCCACCTGCGGCACAGGGGCACCTCCATTTCGCGTGACACCTGTTCAACCTGTTCAGGAACCTGCAACCTGCAACCTGCTGGCAGGCGCTTTTAAGACTTGATAGAAGACAAACAATGCATTCGTTCATTCCTTTTTCTATCTTTGTTCTTCGTCCGGCCCAGTGGTTCTTCTGCTTCTCGTACCCCTCCTCCCCACCACGGTGAGTTGAACGAGTCTCTTTCGGCCGGGCCCCAGAAAAATGTCCTTCGTTCCGGGCGGATCCGCCTCGAAGACTTGGATCGAGTTCACATGTTCCTGATCACACCGCAGAGGTGAAGATCGTTATAATTCTACTACCCAGACACTCCATGGGACTGCCATATATGCCTACATTGGGCCCTCAAACCACCCCAATGTAGGCATATACATGGAGCGTCTGGGCTATAGAGAGAGAGGTCAAATATATCTTTCCTGCGCACACGATCCAAGACACCAGAGAAGCAGTTTCCCAATAAAGAAACAACAAAATTGACGGGCAATATCCGAATGAAAGCCTCATGCAAAACGAAGGATGTTGTATACAAATAATCAAGAGTCGTCCCTTTCCAACATGATTTCGCTGCTATTGTTTTCACAATCCAGCTGCAGGCCTTTTGCTACTATCAATTCTAAGTTGAAACATGTTGTGAACAGCCAAAGCTTTCGCCACGCTTTTGGGGGCCCAAACCTTTGGTCCTCCAAACAGGAACCTTGGACCGTTGGACACCTCTCCAGTCGCCGTGGCGGTACGTGGCGTGGTGGATGGGGTTCGCACTCGGTGACTCCGAAGATGGGAGTGGTGACTCGGAGTACTGAAACCCTTAGATGGATGGACTGCATGCCAATATATACATGTTCGGATAGAAAAAGAGAGAGAGAAAGAGAGAGAGGGACACAGAGAGGAAGAAGGAAACCAAAATGACAAACACAAAGGGACAAAGAAACAGTGATCGAAAACCTCTTCCACAGTCTTCGCAACTTGACTACGGAAAGATCGGAAAGTAAGTTCAATTTAAGGTCGTGGCGAATGCGTGTTTCTCTTGGGGTGCATTGGTCTTCACATCCCTGTATGTACTCAATCATCATGTGGGTATCCGGGGGAATCCCCCTGACCCAATGGATGTTGGGTCGATTTCCCTTCTTCCAGGGGGTCGAACTGGGAGGTCTCTCTACAGAGGTCTCTATCAAAATACACGTGATATTGGGATATATTGGTTATCTCATACGATTTTCCAATCCTACGAACCATCCATAGTACTTGGTATGAAACCAGTCGGGCCCGGCGGTTTCTGACCTATCAGCGGTTGTCTCCTCTCGGATTGCATCAGCTCGGTCCAGTTTGACGATGCACCTCAATGCATCGTGATATCGTGCCGACAACATGGGTTTCAACAGTCAACACATGCTATGCTGACACCCTAAACCGCAATCCCGGACTCTAGGAATCTTCAGGATGTGCTTTGACACAGGCCCAGGCAACAAAAACACACTAGAAACATGTCTGGGTTTCTGGATTGGTCCGCCTTCTCTCTACTTCAGCCACAGGGTGATTTGGCTTTAGTTCGCATCCAATCAGGGAAGGTTCTCTTGCTTCCCCAGCCAATTTCTAGCGAAGACGTTGACTCCGTTGACGCGCAAAACTGCTGAACACTTCTATACAACCCTTCCAAAATGCCAGCACAAAAGAGTCAAAACAAAGGAATTTGTGCATTGCCCCACATGGCCAATTGAATTACACAAGCCAAAGCCTGCAGACTCTCTTCTATAAAGCACTATGGTACATTGTTTTTGCTGATGACATTGGACCGGATGCCTTGACGACCAAAGCAATGACAACTGGAAAGGGCTTCAAACTTGTCTCTTTTGAAGCATATCAAATAGCAAAAAGATCGTCAACCTTGCTCAAACACAGTATCTACGGCATCCCTCAGCAATGAACTTCTCCATGTTCAATTCAACACCTTCCTCTGGAGGTCCCCAAAAACAGATCACTGGTGGGTCGGTGGGTCACCGGTTCGTCACCGCTTCGGGCAAAACATCTCCGCTGGGTGTCCGCCACGGGTCGCCCGGGCGTCCGTCTTTCTCGAAGGGCTGGACCTGGCGCGAGGAGTCGAGCCGGAGTGGAGCACAGTGGAGCACGCCAGGGACGGGTGAAAGGCACTGGGAAGCCTCTCAGACATGCTGACAGGCCATGGCTCTCAAAATTCAACTAGGCAACAAATAACAAGCATGTAAAACAAATTGAGAAGAGAAGAAGAAGGTACGGAAACCCCTTGATAAGGCACCCTTTAGAGTTATTAAAGGGGCCCTTACCTGCTTGCATACAAATAAACATCATGATCAAGTTCCTTTCTCCTGGCGCATCTTTACAAAGCTTAAGCTGCCTTTGAATGTTGGACCACCGCCTCCCTGGCGAACGTCACCTTGACCGACCCATCCCACGGCTCCGCAGCGGTGTGCGCGCTGTGTGCGCGCTCGACGTTCACTGAGGTCCAAGGCCCGGATCACCATGGAGCCACTAAAACCGCCACAGAGTTTCTGCGGTCGGTGGGACGGTGGCCAGGTCGGTGGTCGGTCGTATGAGATGCGTGTCGGTGGCGCGTCGTGTCGGTTGGTCGTGGGAGAAAGAGGAGGACTTCGAGTTGCGTTGGCGGCGAGATGTTTTTTCATGTTTTTTCGATGTTTTCTTCTGTTTGGAGAGGTGGAGGGGGGGCGCTCCAGGTGGATGAGCCGTTGTTCGGACCACTTTCCGGAGAGATGGAGGTATGACATGATATCGCATGATATTCACATAATATCACTGATTCACTCATTAGAGATATGATATCATTATTAGTTTGCAGGGTTGTTCGTCACTGTTAACTCGATTCTTGATTTAACTAAAGGAAGCAGAAGGTGCTTGAACCAGTTGTTGCTTGCACTAGATATACCTTGTACGGATTGCCGGGAGAAACTTATATGACTCATAGTTCTCCCAGGGAACATGGGATTCATTCCTGCAGTTTGCCCTCCAAATATCCATCCACTGTCTGAATCAAAGAGTTGTTTTGCCATGTGTTGATTTCACAACACCCAATCAAGTGAGAACGTCTATCCTGCCTGGCTGATCTCCGGCAAAAGCGCTTCAATTGGTGCCAGCTGTTGATGCTACCAAGCAACAGAACTAGCAACAGAACAAATCCACCCAAGTGGTGGGGCCTTGACCCAAATCCTCTCCATGACATATCTGCCATGTGGGGCCTTTTGATTCAAATCCCAAGCGCGCTTGGCGCAAGTGAAAGCTGGCTCGGGGTCTATAAAGAGAACGGGGGTCCTTGGCATTGAAGGTTTCGAACATCTGCAGCAGCAGATTCTCATAGACCTGGAAGTTGGACTGGGCATCTTGGAAGGGTTTTGGATGGAACCGCCCCCCTGCTTTTGTTGCACCATCCTCCAAATCAACCTGGCACATCCTCCACAAATGTTCTCAGGTCATGCTGTTGCTACGCCCTGGGCCAAAAAATGGCCTATGTGAGTTTATCTAACAACGTCCAATGTCGAGCGTCAGGGCGCTTCGTTTCGGACCTTTTGGGCAAATGCCGTTGAGGATGCCCTATATAGTTGAAGATGAATGGTCGACGGATGGGCACTTCATGCCAAGTTTAGAGCTGGTTTTGGATATGGACGTTTTGACATGACTGACTTTTTGTGCTACCGGTTTGATTGAATGGAACTAGCACAAGAAGATACAAGAAGCATCTAAAACCGTATGTATAGTAATGTATAGTCCTTCCATCTTCTCAGCAGGTCAACACGCATGGGACACAAGATCCGAAGACCCGCCTCTCTGTAAGGATGCTTCCCGAAGACCTTCTCACACACATCCGCCACATTCACCTAGGACGGCACATCCGATCCGCCTTCCGCTGACCCACGCGTCTCCACGTGACTTTTCGCGCCCCGCGAAAAGCCACGATGGGCCACGAGACGAGGGTTCCAGGAAAGTGGCCGGCCCGCTGCTTCGACATGTATCGCATGCTGATTCGACAGTCATGTTTGATGTATCAAGTGGTCCGATGTCCAAAGTATGTGAACAAAATTCAACAACTTCAGGTCTTGGGTGAGAAGCGTGACGATGCCTCTGTTTGTGTACCTGGAACTTCCAATTGCAAACAGTCAGCCTGTTCAATCAGAAAACCGGCCAACTGCCAAACATGTTGCATAGTAAGATGTTCCAGGTATGTCAGGTATATTCTGTTTCTCAACATGAGGCAATCCAGGTCGTTTGCTGGCGGCAAAATTCGACTCAAAGACTCAAACCCATCGACTCATGGGGTAACCGGTTACCCCCGGTTACAAGGTGGCAAATTCCTCGAAATCCTGTGTTTTGGTCCAACACCTTTTTCTTCAAATCGACCAAATAACCCACCAATCAATCGGCGATCGATCAGCGATCGCAGGTTTTCTTGGTCGCCGACACCGGTCTTGTCACCCTTCAAGGCAGGGTTCATGGCAGTGGCCTGACTGAACGTGGAAGCGCCTTCGACCCAGCCGATATATGACATTTGAAGTTACTCGAAAATGGACCTGGCTCTTTGCAGGGTTTTGAACATCGATAACGTATAGACATACGTAGATCATGATGTTTAATTGGCGTCGCTTAGGCGTTTCTAAGTGAGGGATGCAACAGGGATATCCGAGGTGACTCGATCGAACTCCGATCTCCTCACTATCAAATCTCCATGTTCTTGGCCAACTCCCCCCAAAAAACAAATAATCACTTTGTACAACGGCTCTAACACTTCACCCCCCAATGGATGGCGATCAGAAGTGAAGCACTGGGTATCTTGACTCTTGAAAGTCCCTAGTTCCAATCGAAATACCCAAACCTGCTCACTTCTCCAGTACCTCCCAGCCCATGTACTTCTTCTACAACGTGCCCGCAGTTTCACGGGCCTCCCAAGTGGCCAACTTATCCCAGCGCCAAAAGTGGGTGATCTTGCCTCCACTGGTCTCCTGAGGTGCCGAATCTTCGTGTTTTTGTTTTTCCCTTGGGAGCGGAAAGACTAAGAGCTCTTAGAGATTCAAAAATTAATGGAAGGGTGGATGAAGGGATCAGGTGAAGGCATGGTTCTGAAGATCTGAGTGCAGGTCAGACCACGTGGAGGAACGATGATGGTTTCGAATCGGTTGCTGGATGATGAATTCTGCTCTTCATGCTCTTCATTCAGATGTTGGATTTGGATGGATTTGGTACAAGAATTTGCACTCTTGTTACTAGTAGCTTCTAGCTACTAGTTACTATAGCGATGCACCTTTGTTACTAGCAGTTTCTAGCTTCTCCATTCTTCTCCCCTCCCGCTCCTCCATGGCGTCTCTCTACACTTCCTATTGCTTTTCCGGTGTCGTCGTGCTTCGTTGCTCCCCCGCGTCGTCGGTCCGGTCGTCGTCGTCGTCGTCCGTCGGTCCGCGGCTCCTTGCGCTCCGTGGTGAAGTTCTTCCCCGTCGGAAGGCCGATCTTGGCCAACAGGTCCTGCTGCTCGGTGGACGGCTGCGGGACCTGTATGGACCATGGCTGGAAGGTCGGTGTGAAGGGATATAGAGCTCGGAGAGGTTGATAGAATAACATTGGGACATCCGGCGTGTATTGTGATAACAGTTGTGGATGTTTTGGACATAAAATGACATAAATCTAAAAAGACTAATTAGAAATGTAGTAATAACAATTGATGAATAATAACAACAATAGGTATCTTCCGAATGAACACAGGCATGACGGCATGCACGCATGAGGTGGAACACCGGCCATGGGCTTCGTCCAAGTTCGGGACGTCTGGGACCTGTGGGATGTTGGTTTTCTTGGCGCCAAGTGAGCCATGCCAAAGACGGCTATGGATATATCATCATTGCCAGTGGATGATAATGAATCATGACTACTAAAACCATAAAGAACTTTCTGAAAACTCGTGATAGTCTTTTACCGACTGCTGTATAGATAATGGGACACACCCTAGATATGGACCGGACAAATGCATCTGCACCAGCTTGGATGCACCAGCTGACCGAATGGGTCCAACCACACGACCACCGACGGAGAAGCTCGCATGAAGCTCGGTCGTCCTTGTGGTGCTGGTAGTCCTGAGCGTCCCGAAGAGTTGAGTCCAACCCGATGGGGTTTGGTTCAATGGGATTTGAGTCCCTGTCTTTTCCATAATAAAAATGGATATTACCGCAAACAGGATCATGGAACCTCTTTTCCTCGACATTTGTCAGCGCAAGTCTCAACAGGTCGGTCTCCCTCTCTCTCTCTTTTTGTCGACGTCTTCGTTTCGCACATCCTTGGGATCGCTAAATTGAAGATTCTTCGGATCCGAGATGATGAAGGTCGCTTCAAACTGCTGCACCTCGGTCGTCTCAGATGTCCCATGTCCCGTGTGTCGCATCTCCGAGATTCAGAAGCACTCTGGTGTGGATGGCCCACCTAATTCCTGCATGGTTTCAGAAACTTATTTGAGACATATGGAAGGCAATGAATGGCCTGGTAGAGAGGTCAGGGAAAAAGAACAACAACAACAACAACAACATAGTCCTCCACAATGTGATGTTCTCCCAGCTTCAACTCATCAGCAACAAACAGCTCCACAGAAAAATATCATAAATAGGATCCTGCTCACCTGTATTCATCGCGAAAATCACTTGTTCATAATTGTTCCATCCTCCGGGTAACATCAAACAGCCAGACTGGTCCAGTTTCTGTTTCAGCGTGAAAGCAAGGCTCATGGAAGGCGTATGTATTTCTCTCGGGTTTTGGTGACGAAACATGCTGCAGGGACTCACCGCCCAAGAATACAGGTCGAGTCCCAGACGCATGGAAACAGCACATTTGACATGGAAACGGCATGTTTGAGCAACCTTCCATGTTGGAAATGTTTTGCAGACTCTAAGTGGCCACATAACTTCAAGACTTTGCTGGAATTCAGAAACAAACATGCAAGCAACTGGACAAGCAGGTCATCTTTTCTCGTGACATCGTGACCAGCTACAGCAGAGGGCTCCCAGGACCAGAAAATCGCCTGCATGTCCCTGTCCCCACCGCACCTTGCAAGGAATTGGATACGCCTCCGTAGCCAGCGATCTTTGCGTCTGAGCCTGCCGCAAAGAAAAGGAGAATAAGTTCATTGGACCTGTGACTTGACAACTTCTCTCTCTCTCTCTCTGTTGCATAATAGAATCCGTAGCCAGTATAATATAGCATCATTGCAGTACTAGGTCTTCTCACGGTTCATCCTGGAGCTGGGCTCCGGACCGTCCGGAGGCGGAATGGACGCATCGAACCCAAATGGATTGGGCTTGACCGTCATGGGCCCATACCATAGAAAACAGACATTAAGGAACCATACCGAGCAATGGCCTCCAACCTAATAGCCATGGCCGAAACAGCCTCCAACCTATTGACATGTTCTTTCAGCCCATATGATCCCATCTTCGATGATCTTCGATCAGAACCCCTTCGGGGCAGAACGACGGAGCCACTCGACGAACGCCTCCGGGTTGAAGGCCGGTGGCGATTCCTCCACGACGCAGCGGTGCAGGTTGACCTGGCGGCTGAACCCTAGTGGTGTTCCATTTGTTGAGGTGCATGCATCACATACCACTCCTTTTGTACCAGCTGTACATCATATGTACGCCGAATTCATGCTTTTGTTCCCGCCCTTAGATAACCACCACTTGGCACTTGGCAGGACTGCGTGACTGAGCCAGTCCTGAGAATTCAACGACCACTGTCTTCTGCTTAAGCGGAGACTTGAGAACAACTGCAGACCGACCGATGCCATCGGTGAAAAGCTGATAACTGCTCATTTATACTTTCCGACAATTTCCGTGATTCAAGGGTCATCGCATCACATTCAGGTTATACATTCAGCCTGGTCCACAGTCGCAGATCCTTTTGATCCAATGATGCGTCCTTTTGATGCCTTTGGGGTCTGATGCTGACTTACCTTCCCAGAAGCAGTCGAAATCACCATTCTTGTGGCACCATGTTTGACCATTTCCCGGCATTCACCCAAAAAGTCGTAGGACTAAACAATAACATTATAACACCCGTATGCAGGCAAATTGCCGCCTTATATGTTTGCATAATGCCTATAATGGTCTCCTAAACATATGAGTGGAACCTGTAATGCAGCCTAAGCTGCCTATTCCAACCTATAAAGATTGAACCCGCAGCCATCTTTTCTCCTCCCAAGACTGGTGGCAAGATTCCCCTTGGCGCAGCTTTGACGCCTTGGCTTGCACGGCTAAGCTGGTTCGATCTTGAATTCGAGCTGCCGCTGTGCTGCCAATGGATTCAACGGGCTAGAACTGGCCGCGAAAAACCGCGGCCCCGCAGAGTTTGGTCTGCATGATCATGGACTGGACATCGACCAACGGCCACATGATCCGGGTGTTTGTACCACGCACCGGGCGAGGACTTTTCGATCAGAACCTTCAGGAGGCAAAGGCATCAGGACCTGCAAGCGAATTGAGCCAACTGGGGCCCCCCAAAATGACCAGATCCTATGATTGTCAAGTTCACAACATGTTCAGGCTCAAATATTCAGCAGGTTTCTAGTTATTGGTTTTGGATAGCTTCCAAATTCAATATATATAGAGAGAGAGAGAGATATAACTACTATAATTACTGTATACACATGGATATTCCATTGAATTTCCTGAAATCTGCATGGCTGTAGCAATAGCAGTGCAAGCATGATATTGTAATTTGAACAGCATATGCTAGTCCTTGCGGACCAATGCGCTACTTATGCGCTACTTTGAGTAGGCTATCGATTCCGGACCTTGGACAGGAGCCAGCATCCCAACAGACGCTTGCTTTGCTTCAGCAAGTATGATGCTTCCTGTCCAAGTGTGGAATACGAAGGTGTTGAAAGGAAAGCCACCTTGAGTCATCCTCTATATAGTAGATTCCCACAGGAGACCCTGGAAGAAAGACCATGGGCCAAAATTCATTCACCAGCTGATCTCCCTATTCCCTATTACATATATATATACATACAGTGGGTCTATCCTATTACTAGTAACAGTGGATGAGGATGATGATGATGATGACGACGACGACGATGATGATGATGGTTAGTAAAGGCCTTGTTCAAAATAGTGGTAATTGTTCACTGTTATACGGAACAATACTGGGGCGCACTTAAAGATGTCAAAATTTAATTCCTGCATTTTAAAATAATTGCTGCTGGGACCGCAGCTCGGAAGTACTCAATGATGAATCCAATAACATCAATAAACAACATTAACACCCGAATAAAAAAGGTGGGTTAACCTGCCCGTGGGACAAGGGTACAGTAAGGCAAAGGAGACCCTCATGCAGCCAAACCAGAGATCTGTCATGCAACCAAACGGTCCTGTAGCCATAAAGTTCACTTCTGGCTGTTAAATGACAAATCGGTCAGGCAGCCAGGCTTCATGCCCCTCTCTCTCCTACTCTCTCCTTTGATAGAGGACCATCTCCCCCAATTCGAACTTAGAATTGAACATAATTAACCTTTTCAAAAAGTTTCATACCTGCACTTAAGGAAATCACCTCAGTAGTGACAGGGCCTGGTATGCCCTCCCCTTAGTGCAGTCGGTAGCGCTACCGACTGCAGTAAGCCTCCATGTGATTTTCTTAAGTGCAGGTGAAAATAATTCAGGGATGCTTAAATCAATGCAAAAACAATGCCCCATGGATTGAGAGCCATGGGCTTACTGAGGTCGGTAGCGCTACCGACCTCCCTAAGAGGGGGGTATGGCATGCCCTCCCCTTACTGCACTGATTTCCTTAAGTGCAGCTGCATTTTGAAAATAAATATTTCCTACTTCCCAATCAGGGTGACCAGCAAGAAAAACACATGTCATCCCCCGGGGAGTCCAAAGAGGGGTCAGAGACTTGATTTTCCAAATGTTCTAGAGAATCATATATACTTGCTTGGATGTGTAGACAGAGATTCATTTTGTACGGATGGTACTAAAAAGCACATGATTGTTCCTTGCCCTACAGAATCACAACGGGTCCTAAAAACAGAAAGCTGTGACTTCACGGGGTGCCCTATGTTTGGGGGGGTCAGGCCAGACTCCCCAGCCTTCTCCCCAACTCATAGGGAGATTTAAAAACATGTTTAAAAAATCAGGGAAGTAAATTTTTGACTTTGTTAAGTGCAGGGTAGAATAGGGATACTATATAACATAATTATCAATGTTCCACCGCCCTATTTTTCAGTGCCGGGGCCAAGTTTCGGACATCCTCACATGTCCTCACTGCAAGTCCTTCAAATGCCAGGGTGGAACAACATGTAGTAACTACATTGTTCTGGGTTTTGGAGGTTCCAGGGATGTCACCTGGTTCATCCAACAGCGACTCTGGCCCACATCCCGAACTCCGCCTGGGGGTTGGTTGCGCCTTTCCGAAGGCTGGCCCTGGCAATGAGAACGGGTTTAAGGGCATGTCAGATCTATATAGATGTTATGAGCAAGCTGCAAAAAGCGTGACCTATTTAGAGGTCAGGTTGGGGCAAACGCAATCTCCCATTGAATGTTTCAACCATCTCCAGGCCTGAAGAGTATATAACAAAACCTCTGCCACATACATCCACTCTTCTTCCAGTTCTCCTGCAATCTTCTGCTTTCAATGTGCGTGGCCTTTCTGGAAATCCTTCGGTGCCCGAAAGTCAAACAAACCTTGCAGCCCGCGACCAGTTGGAGAGGCTGTTCCCTTCGCACGACTTGGACCGAAAAACATCGCATCTCAAGACCCTTCGACCCTTCGTGGCACAAAAAATAAGAAGAACCTATCAGATCCTATGAGGCACTGGAAAAAATTCACCGTTCCCTTGAAAGGATGGATACTTGGAACGCTAGCCCTGTATAGATATAAATTATTGGATGACATTTGGCATCATTTGGCTACCATGAGATTGCCATGTTCATGTTGAAGCAATCTAATGAATAGGTTGTATATGGTCTGTGTTCATTGCACAGCTTCTATCACCCACTTCGTGACCGAATCACGAAACCCGGTCGAAGCCGCGAAGGCAACCCACCGGTGGACCGAGCTCTCAGCTCGGGGCATCTCCCGAGCTTCAACGAGCACGGGAACCTACTGAGAATCGGTGTCTTTGTGACCAAATGCCTGCGTTCATTCTCTAAATTAACACCTTCCACAGACAGATATCCCACAGATATTTTTACAGAATTCCACAGAATTTCACTAAATTCAATTCCATCCCACAGGACTGGACATAGTATAATTTACCCCTTTGAGGAGCACCCTTCAGTAACTCTTCCAGATCTTGGATGGTCTGGCAGAACAATCCAAATTGGTCCCTCTATTCCTCGGACCCCACTGCCACCTCGGGCCGCCAGGGATTGCCCCGCTGCCCCAGGACCTCAGCAGCTTTTTGAGAAGACCACCCTGCCTTGCCACAGGGCAAATCACTCCAAAGGATCCCCAAGTCTACAAGGGAGACCAAGTCGAAGACTTGGTCTCAAAAAATAGAACACACCTCCAACATGTTGTTCTTTCAAGGCGAAGTTGGCGTGTCGTCAAACAATGGCCCTGTATCCAATAGCACCTGAGCTCGCAGGAAAACAGCTTCTGCCCACCGGCCTCCCGCCTTCAAGGCCCTCCCAGGGCCCACGCTCCACCCAAGAAGGAGTCCAACAAAGTCCACAAGCAATGACAACAGCCTCGAGACAGCCAGTCAGCTTCTGTGATTTTTGTTCATGAGACCAGGTGAGACCTTTTGGACAATATGATAGTACGACATGCCAGGTGAGACCTTTTGCACCATGAAACATCATGAAACTATGTATATGCAGACATGCATGGGGGTGACTTCTGCTGGGAGGACGGGAAAGTAGTTTGGCATGTAGTACTCTTTTCTTCCCCAAAGTTGACAATTTGCTGCTTTGCCGTGGTTCTGGATTCAACCGGCCAGCTCCTCTGCAGTTTCTGGACCCAAACGGTTTGGTGAAACGAGGACCACTGCTTGAGGCGTCAAAAAGGAGGTCAACCGGTGAAAAAAAGCGGACGGATCCACAGAATCCACGACGGTGAAGTTTCCTTTCATGGTGTTGTTCTATCTCAGGCCACAAACAATGTGATCTTCAAGTGACCTTATCTGAACTGATCCCAACAGCTTGTTTCAAATACCCCATACATCAATGTTTCCCTACCAAAGCCCGATCAATCTGAATTGAGCCATCCACAAGCTGGACCGTGAAACAAGTCATTCGATCAGATGCCTTTCTCGAAGTCATTCACGCCAAGTCCAACTTCCATCTTCCGTTCTCTTTGTGGACCTGGCTGGAAGAGTACACTTATGGATCTCCAGCCAGGAGACCTGTTGGAAAGTCCACCTTCTCAGGCTTTCCCCGCTGACCCTTCGTCCTGCCTTGAGGCCGCTCCGATCTCAAGGGCTGGGCCTGGAGATGTGGTCGAAAGGTCCAACAACGCCCGGTCGCTCGGTGGTCGGTCTAGCCACAAAGCTCGGTCGAGCGCCGTCGTTGAAACAAGTGTTCCAGCAACCTGGGTGAATGTCGTCTTACACCTAGGCACCTGTACACCTCACCAAGCCTACCTTCGCACCTCAAAAGGCACCACCTAATTCGGCACCTGTACTGTCACCGTTCACCATTCGCTCCGTTCGCCACATGGCGCGACCGGGACCTCGGCACCATACCTTCAAACGACTTCGGTTCGAGACATCGGAACAGTGGTCTTTGGGATTGGGTCAAAAGACCATACCAAAGGAAAAAGGTCAAAGCCCCATGGCTTTGATCTTCCCAAAGAGCTTTCACTGTTCTTTGGGTCTTTTAAAGGTAAAAGCTCTTTTGGGAAGATCAGTGAATGGAGACCTTGAGGCCAAGAACGAAGGCTTCTCTGAAGAAGCAATTCATGTACCACCTCAAAACCCCGGTCGATCTGTTTACAGCTCCGGCCTCCGGCATGGCAGGCATCGCGGGACCACTCGCCAGAACTCCAAAGAGCCGGCAGATTCGGCCCGGGCTTTTTGGGGGTTTATTGGGCTGGGACGAGTCCCAAGCCCAAGGGAGATCAGTTGATCCTTGTCAAAAAAAAACATGTGAGAATCCCTTTCAATGGGCTATCCCAGACCAGAAAATCACTGAAGGCACCTCAACGAGATGATGAGTGCAATTTTGACCAGTGCCTGGCATGGCGTTCAAGACTGCAACACCGGCTTTTGATGCAAGTGTTCTTGCGTGTGCCACTGGCATCTCATCATCACGAACTGGAGCCAAACAAAATCGCCCCTGCGACGTCTGGTCGGTCTGGTCGGAGATGATGGGGCCAAGCAAAAGCCATGGGGCCAAGTCATGGTTGATGATTGATGTAGACTCTTGATGAATACCCCTCCCCCATGTGGATGGAAAAAACATCTTCAATATGGGTGGTTTAGAAAAATCAAGAGTCTACTGTACAATGAAAGTACTTGCAAAACAGGCCTAATGGATCTGAAGCATCTACTCAGCTACTCAGAATCTACTCAAGTCTCACCCAAAGAGCCACACAGCTTGGACCCTCTTTACAGTCCTCACGCTCGGTTTCTCTTGACAGGTCCTCTTCACACCCAAATCCCGGGGTTTGGTACCGATCCAGAGTTCTTTGGAGGACCTGCCCGACATATGGTCTTCCCGAAGTGGAAAACCAGCGGCCTAGACCTCCTAGAGCTCAGAATTGAGCTTATCTTGTGGAATCTTGTGCATGGATTCGACTCCGAATCGAAAAAACAAACATGCTGAAGATGGCATCGGCGAGCACCGGGCCTCCAGCCCAGCTTCGAAGAACTTCGACACTGCCTTGGGGCGGTGATCTCTTCAGCCAAACGCGGGTCCACCACCCTCTTGGTGCAAAAGTCACTCCCACTGGCACCTGGTTCAGCAGAACTAGTACACTCGAACACGTGAAAAGTAAACGACTATGCGCAGCCTGTGCAGCGACCTAGTACAGAAATCCAGTTGTACACCCTTATTGTGTGTTCAGCCTTTTAGCCTTAAGCCTTCCAACAACCTCTTCAAAAAAGTGACCCTGCATCTTCCCAAGTCCCACCGAACCGAGGCATATCTTAGAGCCCGGAAAAGCTTGGCATATGGCGACTTGCTACCCTTCATATCTCACTGCTTCACTTCCCACTACACGTGAGTGTGCAAGGTCAAATTATTGATTCATAACATGAGGTAATAATATGTTATAATATAATATAATCCTTCGTCAGCCGCCGAAACATCCTCTTACAATTTCAGGGCCTGGACCTGTTGGTGCAATGGAGGTTTCCTTAAATGGCTTGCCCCTCATTCACGAAAACCCTCAAATGAAATGTGGGAGCCATCCATTGCATTTCCATTGCAGCAGTCCGGTGAATCCCGTTGCTGCCGATGCCATGGGTCTTTCAGAATGACTGGATGGTGGTTCTACTACCCTTCCCCCCAAAAATAGTCAACTGTGGTAGTCATTCCCAAATGGGTTTGAAAAGTGAAAAGGAAATGAAAGCACAACCCTTTCTATATCCCTTCTCCAATCGAACAAACATGGAACTGGTCAATGGGCCCTTGGAAGACATCTTAATCCATTGAATCCACCCCCTTATTACTAGTAGCGTCCTTGATACTAGTACTAGTAGTAATACACTTGTTACTAGTAGCGATGCATGTTTCAATTCTGTTGTTCCTAGGCAAAACTCTGAGGTTGAGCAACCCCTCCATACTTCTTTTCGGGTCACTGACTTCGCTCCGTACATGCCTCCGCTCCGGCCACCCCTTGCGCTGCCCAAACGCCCGCAAAAAGCTCCGCCGTTGGACTAGTCTTAGCTCCGTGCCTCCTGCACGTCCTCCTTAAATCCCTTCACCACGCCCGGCAGGAAGTTGCGACCTCGACAAAAAGGACTGGACCCCGGAAGTGGCGGACCGGAGTCGGGGAAGAGACTCCAAAGGAGCTATGGAAATGTCACAGGGTGATGCAGAAATTGGTGAATTCCTCGGGTGATGGGAATCCAAAAATGTACAATATAGATATATTTGCATACATTTGCATCAAACAAAGTGGAGACGTCCATCAAAATGGTCTGCAGGGGTGGCACGAGTAACAAACAAAACATACAGCCATGATCTCCTAAAACTTAAAAGTACAAAACATATTAACAACCAGGCCTCGGGGGTTGGGTTGATCCATACCCCAAACAACAATAATAACAATCCGCACCGCAAAAGGATCAAGAAAGGGCAACATATACCCAGACGCTCCATGGGACTGCCATATATGCCGCCCCATTGACCCCCCAAACCACCCCAACTGATTGGCATATATGGCTGTCCCATGGAGTGTCTGGGATATGATCTTCAGCAGTATCAAGAACTGAACAAACCAACGTCCCAATCACTCCACCCATTACGGCCGCGAACTCTGCCGACCGCTCGCGAAGTCCCGTCGCTCGCCATCTCCAATCCCACGGAGACTCAACGTCACATGTGTGTGAACCCCCGATGGAAAGGAACCTCTGTTTCCCTCTCGCTCCTTATCCACTTATTTACCCACTGCAGCTTTCTCTGAGCTCCTCACTCATGATTCGCCCATCTGAATACCTCAGTGGTTGAATCCGCTCACGCGAAGTGCAAATATTGCTACACTAGCTTTCACGGGTGCCTTGGGGGCGTTCATCGTGAACAAGTGCCAGTCAGAGTGATGCGCCAATCATTAATATATAATAGTATATTATATTATGTAGTAAATATAATTACTATTGATTAATTAACTATATGGTACCCAGCCTTAGAGACCAACCTACTACATGATTGTCTCCAGTCTAGGCTCGGCTCTAGTGTTCTCGGATCAAGCAAACCGTCTTGGGCGAAACGTTCGCGGGTGGTACATCCTGCCACTGAGAGCGAATCCGCGGATTCCCGAAAAACCCGGGCGATGGGGGAGTCCACCAAATGGACCCCAAGTCCATGACGGGAGTTGTCTCATGGCTCGGACCCCATGGCTCAAGCCGGTGCCCATCACGAGTCCCAGTTTGCCCATCCGCCAGGACAGACTTCACACATTCACGGCACAACACCGTGTCGATGCGGTTTTTGATTGAAGACAGGTTGCTGCTCGTGGGATTCGATCAACACCAGGTCCTGCCAACAGCTGTTTCAGCAGCTTTCACTGGGGCACCCAAAAGAGGCGGACTCTCCGCAGTTCATGATCCACACATGTCACTTCTGAGATGAATTGTTTGAGCCCCCCCACAGTGAATTTAGGAGATCTACATCCAGAAAAGAACTGAGATCTCCCCGGTATGATCCCCCCAAAATGAAGGATCGTCTGTTTCTGACTTCATCGACTGCTTTGGGTCAGCTGCCGCCTTACCACAAACAGAAAAAAAGGTCCACTTGGTCCTTGGTTTGATGGTGGGGCCGTCATGCATGGTGCGTTCACTTAAACTTGGTTGGGCAGCCTGTCCACCTACTGTGAAACTACGCAGTCAGACAAGCCCTTCCTTTTTTCCACTTCTCGCCCGCGCACGACCGCGGGTGGCATGCGGTCATCCTTTCTTGCTTCAAATGGACAGGAGGAGAGGCAACATCCAGCTGGGAAGCATGTAAGCCAATGCAAGCATTCCGTTTATTATATTTACCGCATCTAAGCGTCCCAAAAGCCATCTGGATTTCTTGGACCCGATCTGTTAACCAGGGCACCTTTGGTCGAAAAGACGGAGAGTCCAGGTAAATCTTGGCCTACCAAACAAGCCAGGCCTCCTCACCAACCGGGACCCTTGGAGGGATAAGTGATTAGAGTGATCATGTTTCGTGCCAAGCCCTCAAAGGGTTTGAGCAAAATCGGTCACCGTGTGTTCTTCCCAACCAGATCTGATTCTGTCAGTTTCTCTGGGAGATTCCATCAAGTTGACAGTAACCTTGTTCCACTTGAAACTACTCCCCAACAAAGGTTACAGGTTATCCACTGGGTAGGATCTCATATGATATTCTAGTAAAATGATAGGTCCTCATGCACTAAGTCTGAAAACAGGCCTCTCTCCCTTGTCAGGAAAATGGAATAAAGCAATGCAACACACAAAAAATATACTCAGAGCAACTTTACAAACAAATGCATGTGGAAAAGTACAGGAGCTTTGTGCACATGATTTTTCTCACTCTACCAGCTTAAAAGACAGAAGGATGTTTGTCTGACTTTCCAGCGACCTGTCAGAAGACAGGAAGGTCTAAGAATACAAAGAGACGTGGAGGAAGGTGTAAGCTTTACGGCTGGTGCTTTCCTCCACGGAATTTTTGGCACCAGAAACTACGCCACTAGGGGCTAGAGAAGAACATGATGAATTGTTGGGTGTCTGGGTGTCGAATAAGGGACTCTGCAGACTCCTAGGATATCAGACTCTACGATTGTTGATGTGTGAGTTTGGGGAAGACGACGATTTGGCCGTGCGGCGCCCTTGATCGGTCACTGGAAAGATCGAGGCCTTCAGATCGACAGAATCGACAGAACTAAAACCGGTGGGGACGCCACGCCCGTATGCATTTCGCATGTCTGGCAGATGCATTTCTGAAGCTTCAACGTCTAGTGGGCTGATGCAGTCACCGATGCATTTCTGAAGACGTCTAGCCTAGTGTCACAGAGTTTAAGATTGCAAACTGCCTTCTAGTCCATGTTCGATGGGCTTTGGAAGACCAAACAGCAACAAAAACACCATTGTAAGATGTTGCAAGAGAAGGACGGATGAACAAAATGATGTACCAGTGTAGAAAGCCCTGTAAATGAGAATAGAATGGAAAACTGATCATGAACTATAGAGAAGAAAAGCACAACATGACATACAATCGAAGAGTAAGGAGCGTAAGGAGCCCGTCACTGTGTAGGTTTGTAGATCCACTAGTTGCACAGTCTTACAAATATGCTACTACATTAATATTTTGCTATATTGTAATATATACATACATACATGATGTACCTTTGAAAACAAACAACCTTCTCATTCAAGGCACCATGTGAGTGAAGCCACACAAAGACCAAAGGCCTGGGGTTTGAACTTTCATGGTGGTATTAGCTGGACTGCGGCGTCCGAAGAAAACGGCTCACAATGCCGAAGATGAGCTCTCCAGCGATTCCTGGTCCCCCAACGAGATCCCGGTCGGTGTGACAAATACGAAGAGATCCCAAGCAATGCCCAAAAACAGTGAATCATCATAGCCAAAACCATTGGTCCAAGTTATTTCTATTACGATTCCATCAACTTGTAGGTTCTGGGTACATTCTTGTCTATTGGGGGACCAACATCATTTTATGGACATTCATCGTAGAGTCATGGATCAAACCATGCAGTATTTCAACAAAAGAGTCTGGCAGGGTATCTTATCTTCTACAATCATCTACAATCTGTGCGTCTTCTTCTTCAACGGGGATGGGAACAAGGCTGTGAACCGCACCCAGCTCTATGTCTACAAACCATCCAGGTCCAACGGTCTAATAGCCTCCATGTTTGCTTCCAAACAACATGGCCATCAAGGGCCTCGACTGAGCTGAGGGGGTCTGGACAGAAAAAACACCTTCTTTTAGCCCGCGCTTACTTCATTAGGTATGCGCCTACTTAATTGAGTCACGGGGCTAGCCGCTACTACCCACTCAGGATAGTTCACACTTCCTTGAAGAAGCACTTGCACTCTTCATTTGGTTCCTAGATTCATTAAAAAAAGGACTCGTGGTGGGGGGTCTCAAGGGGGGTCTATGCGAACTGAGCTGATGGCCAAAAATCAAACCCTTGAGACTTGGCCGAGGGGAATCAAAGCTCGGCAAATACCGATTGAGATGAAGGACCTCAAGGATGGCTACCCTGTCCATTTCAGAACTGCTACCGGCTACCGTTTGAAAGAAGTCCCCCCCCGCACCATTAGCTGCGTGGAGTGTGAAGCTTAAACGGTGTGAAGATCGATGTATAGTAACAAATAGTTCCCATGGTCGTTGACATGGTGATGTTGTCCTCATCAGGATCACTTCCATCCTCCCCTGTTGAAACGCCTCCGATCAGCCTCGGACGCCTCTGTCTCTCCAGGTCGGTCGAAAGCATGGTCAGGAGCGCATGTGGGGCTCCGAGTGTCGAAAGGGCGCGATGTCGTTGTAGACGAAGCGCAAGGCAGCCACCACATCTTCATCTTGGGCCGCGGCAAAGCTGCCTGGCCGGTGTAAGAGCGAGCAACGAACCTGTGGAGCGCAGGTCAACTCTCATGGCTCTGTGGTCTACCCTCCCTCAAACAATCATGGAAGCTGAGCAGACCGCAGACCCCCCTTGTAGAGGAACATTGTGTCTTTGGGGGGCCTGTGTTCCACTTCCAAAAAGCCCCTGGATCGATCACTTACTCTCCACTTCGATTGTTTCAGGGAGAGTATGTGATATCCAACAAGCCTAGGGCCTAGCGGCCTAGCGGTGCTCAGTCCGAGCCTTCGAGCGTCAAACCGCGAGAGCACCATCTCCGCGCAGCGGTTCGATGTCGGACCGGACCCTTGGGTTCAAGACGGATCGGGGAAGAATCACGCTGATTGTATCGGGCTGATTGTATCGTTTGCGCACCGATCAACACATGTCTGTCTGTCTCCCTGTCCCTGTCCCTGTCTCCCCCTCTGTCTGTCTGTCTGCCTGCCTGCCTGCCTGCCTCTTTCTATGTCCAGTGACGATGGGACACGCACAGTGCCTTGCAACATTTAAGAGGAGTTTGTCCAGGGTTGGAACTTCCTCAAAACATCTTACTGTGTTGGTAGGATCAATCTGAAGGCGAATGGAATGCCACTTTGCGCAATGAACCTTTAGGCACCACGTGAATGACACACACTCTCAACCAGGTAGCTGGATCGGATCCCAACAGCTGGATCCCTCCCTCTTTGAGGGCCCAGCTCTGAGTATGTGGATGCCTCAAATGAGTCCAAATGCGTCTGAAGTGTTTGATGGTCCAAATGGGAACTCCCAGGAACGTCCGTCAGGTGAACGCACCTCCGCCGTTCGGACCGCGTGGCGGGTTCCCCCGGTCACATCCGGTCCCCACGGCCTTCCAGTACTGTTCCAAGACGGCCATTCGCTGTGAGGTGCGTACCTGACACACCGTGCGGGGGCTGCGAAAGCAAAACACGGCGAGGCTCGGGTGACCGAGTTCGGTCGACCGACCAAGAACCGACCGAAAACACTGCAGCGCTGACTACATCACAGGGTCCTGACGACATCACTGACGACTGCAGCGGCTAAGCTAAGCTGACGGACCAACTCAACGACCGACTCGCATAAGACCGGCGGGCCTTCCTTTTCCCAATCACGGATAAATTGCACGATCTCGTCCTCGGTGGAAATCAGAGATTCGCAGAGGTGTTCTTTGGTGGCCAAAGATCAATAGGCGAAGAGTAAAAAGCAGGAGGTGCCTCTGTAGCCGAAAATCATACTCCAAATCCCAAAGCCTGGAACTGACATGAACTCTCCGCGTCGTGTACCTATAATATGATATAATATGTTACATCACATCCTATATTCTTCTCGTCATCCCCTTCATCGATCCTCACAAACAAAGAACTGGACAACTTCGTCCAGAACGAGATGACCCTTGAGACCGGTCGAACGAGATGAAAGGCCCTTTTGAACCCGAAACAGGCGGAGAAACTTCTTCAGCCAAACTGATCCAACGACCGGGAAAAATTCCACCTTCCGGTTGATCAGCGATTTCATGTGAAGAATTGGATTCAAAGACCACGTCATGAATGAGCAAAAACGGCACGTACGTTTCGAACGGCTCCTATCGAGCTCTTCACCTCCACCGCTCCCACCGCTCATACTCCGCCGACGAAAACCATGGAACAACGACCTCGAAGGTGGACGACGTCAGCTTTTTTGCGCAAGGCGGGAAGCTGTGATTCCACCAGTCACCCAATTCAGTTCCCTCAAAACCCACCCATGGTTTCACGGGTTTCAACGGTGGGGCGCGGGGCGGTGTCTGGGCGGCAGACATCTGCACCAAGTTTCAAAGCGTTGGTCGTGTTTGCTGTCGCTCTCAGCTTCGAGGGGCATCAAATCCCCCAAGATGTGTCGAGTCCTTGGCACTGAGTGGCGATGAAGAAGAACAAGACCAGGTAAAATGGAACAAGAAGAAGGAACAAGACGCAAAGACTGTAAAATGCCATGTGTATGGGCTCTTTGAGCAAATTCTGTTTCGAGCAGGTGATCCAGTCATCAGTCATAGAGTCTATTCAGAGATAGTTGATTGAGTTGCTTTATGATAGTGAAGCAGGGTTGTGATCATGTACCCCTCGCCCTCGCGCTTTTCTTCGGTCACCACGTGTCTGCTCGGAACTCAATGGTTCGCCGCAGTCCTCGCCTCGCGGAGCGAAGCCGAGGCGGGCTCGACCCATGGCACTGCCAACGCAAGCGTTACTAGTAGCTTCTTGTTACGAGTAGTAAGGCCAGGAGCCCCTAGTAGCGTCCTTGCTGCAAGTAGCGATGCCCTTTTCTACTTGCTCCTAGTAGTAAGGCGAGGAGCGCCGATCGTAGCGGCCTTGCTCCGTTCGTAGCGATGCCAGGAGCCCTACTAGCTTCTTCAACAAGCGTATGGAGATCCATGAACCAAATATTATAGCTACTATGCAGCACACGCATGGACAGTACATGCATTTGATAAAGAGATGGCTGGTGGGCCAAGTTTCTGCAATCCCGGACGTACACCTGTTCATTTCACATTACCCACAAAGAAAATGCTCAAGCTCCAAACAGCTCTTCATGAACCCTGGCTCCATATCTGGGTACAACCATGTTTGATGTTCTCTCACTTTAATGTGGCAAACGTTGGGGATGGCCATTTTGGCCCGGCATCGATTTCCCGGAAGTGCACCGGTGGTGAACGACGTCCTCAAAGTTGTGTCAACTCATGTGGAAACATTCTAAATCCTAAACCTGGGTAACTGCCAGAAGGTGCAGGTCTGAAGGATTTTTTCGCAGGGCATCAGCATCCAGTCAAGGAAATGGCAACCCGTGTTCCACAGTGGCATGCTTGACAAGCTATCCCCAAAAAAATTGCTGAGATAGCCAGCACCTCTATAGGGAAGTTCTCATCTACCTTCGTTGTAGGTTGCCATGCAAGAAGTCAAGGAGAGCACGTACTGTCAAGAGCCCAAGTGTTTTTCTGCGCCAACAAGGTTCCGCCAAGGAGCAGATCAGCCGACTAGCGCCTTCTAGAAACTCGGGAAAGCCCTGAGATGGCAGACAAATGCCAAGCATCCCAAGAAATTCATCACAATTGCTGTGGGGTCAAACATTAGTGGCTAGAACCAGAATGTTGAAGAGCTTAAGTTATCAGTTATCAGCCAGAGATTGAAAAAGGCAGACCTTTCCACCCCCTATATTCAACAATCATGGAAGGGGGAGGGGATGGCATGGCCTCCTGTGTTCCCTTATATTGGAGTTGCTCACCATGTGTGTGTATTTGTCACAACTGATGCTTCAGGCTGAAGACTGGCAACTTGCCAACAACCCCAGCTACAACTGCCTCCTCAGATTGTATCCAGTCCTCTACCCGAACACGGAAGCAGGGAGATGCAGCGAGTCAGGGAGACGCAGCGGTGCAAAACTGGGGCACCTACGGTGCGCCGGCTGCATAGGTCTTCAACCCTGGACACCGGTGCCAAGCTTCAATTGGCTGTTGAGCCTCGTATAAGCCAGCAACGATATTCTTCAACTGAGCATTCACCGAGTCGTGCGCCTTCTGTCCATTTGGACCTCAGTCAAGCACCTCTCGGTACTGTTGATGAGCAAACAAACAGTATCACCTGGGAACGACCCGGTCGCATGAAGGCATGTTGCATGAGTCAATGGACAGCAGCGAGAACCGCGGGGGGCTTGCTTCTGACCCGGCAACATGTTGAATCAAGCATTGAGCATCAAGCGGGGCAAGCTTGTGATACCGGTCTTCCCCATGCCCACGCTAGGAAGAACTGCACCAAGCAGAACTGCTGCACAACAAGGAACCCCCCGCGGCACGGTCCGGTCCAGTTAGAGTTTAGAGCTGTAACCTGTCATACAGTAACATACACAGGAACATCACAGCTGCTTGTGATTCGTAGGAACCTTGTGATTCGACGTTTCAACAAGGAAGATCATCCTTCTGAGTTGCAAAGAAGGACCGACTCATAAGTTAACAACTGTCAACATCTTACAACTGTCAACCCCCCATGCTCGCGTCGTTTTCATGTTTTCTTCCCAGAGTCTTGGCTGTCCAGCTCGGTCCTTTGCTAAGGGTTTGACCTGTTTGTCTAGTGGTTTAGTAAGAAATCCCTTCTAAACCAAAGGGCCTAGGGTGGCCTTACTAAGGGTCTGGTTGAGTACGAGTCCTGGGACAGTCGAGTGTTGCGGCCCAGGAGCCCAACAAGACGGCGGAGTTGAAGGCTTCCAGTTCCTCATTCGCTGGAACCACCGTGCCCGTGCAGGAACCGCGATGTCGGGAGCCCCTGTTCAGAGGCTCCTCAAAAAAAGGCCTCAACGGTCACAGGTGGGAAAAGAAAGGTTAAGCCTTTGTTTTCCAGAGAAACTGAGGGGGGGTCAAATGATATTCTTGTGGTCACTAGTACAACACACACGTCCACATGCACTTTTGAGTGCCTGTTGGATTTAGTGCGGAAACCAATCCCCCAAAATGGTTGAAGGTTGTCACTGATTGGGAAGGTCATTAGTAAGAAGGACAAATGGACCACAACCCATGTATAATTGGGCCTGGTTGCGCTGTGTCCGATCATGCTCCACATGTGCTTTGTGATTAGGTGGAGCCTTCGCCACAGGCGAGCCGAGTTAGGATGGTTGTCGAACTGCATGCGACTGAGGTTCCTTGATTTCCGAAGAACTAAATCTATTTGTACATATAGACCCTCTGAAGCGATCTTAATAAGACATTGTTAAATTAAGAATGGTGTCCCTTCCCGTAACAAATGCCTGACATGTTCCTCAGTCTGCCATGTAAATTACCATCTACCACCAACCGCGCGTCTTTTTTTTGGTGAACCCGTCCTCCCGGCCCACCGCTGGACGACCGGTGGCCCTGACCACTGACCGCGCCCTGCCGGGCGGCCGACTTCTTGAGGATCCCGGAGCGGTCGGCGTCAATGGCGTCGAACAACTCCCGATGCGCAAATAAGTCACCTCCGTCTTGGCACCGTTTGGACGAGAAGAACGAGGAAGTCGGAGAGGACGGCGGGGTGTGTGAAAGGGGGGGAGTTGTTTTGAGAAGAATGAGTGTTTTATGTTGTTTTTGTGGGTTGGAAGAGGTGACTGAACATTTTGGGGCAAACACTGGGATGACAGTGTGTGAGACATTCATTTCGCGATGTTTGGGTGAAAGATGGCCAAACCATCGAGCTCCAAGCGAAGAGTACAATCGATGCTGGCCAAGTGAGGCGGCTTCTGGATGGAGCAGGAACTCAAAATGGTGCGGGCGCGGCCTTTGTGTCAACCCCTTCTGCCATTTCAGGTGGGTTGGGATCTCCTTCCTCCACTGTTTCTGGTGGTCCGCGTTGTCTGTATGAAGGTGGAATCTAGGGGATGGTATGGTTAAGTTCCTTTTTGGTTCTCTTGGTTCATGGAGGTCTCTCGTCCAAACAAGGAACTGCCTTGGACCTTCCGGAACTCAGGGCCGTCTGTCTGAGCCCTTTTTGCAATCCTCAGGCGTGACCATTCAGAGTAGTCCGGTCAAAAACCGGATTCTGAAACTGGGATTTTGAAACAGTGAAACTGCGATTCTGAAACAGAGGTTCCGAAACTATCCGAAACTGGTATATTGAAACTGGAAAGAAGTCAAATTTCGCAACGGGTTTGTGAATCTAGGCCTCTGGACCAACACAGGGGAATATTATGGGAACAATGTCTGTGCTCAAAGAGTGGCAGTTGACGAGGAGTATGGTGGAGATCTCTTTGTAACTAAAGGTCCTGGCGGGAAGGTCCTGTCGGGAAGACCTGCCAGTTGAGGAATCCTAGTTGCTTGGAACCCGGGCTTGATGTATCGGAGAGAGTGTGGGAGGTTCCATGGAGATCCGGTTGTTTAAACTGCTTGGCGGTTTCCACTCAATGGGCGCAATATATCCCAAGTCAAAAAAAACGGAACTGACACTACCACCATCTACAAATCCTTTTGGAGGGGCGACATGCCGTGTGCCCACCCATTTCGGTACTCCACTCCGTTCCGCCATCCGGGCGACCATCCGGGATGTCGCTGCTGATGCGCTCCGATACCTGGGCGAAGGCCGGTGAGGCCGGTGTTCGCACTCATCCTGCCGTTCACATCGACGACTTTGAAGAGGTCCGTTCTGACCCGTCCCCACTTTCTGAACCCGACCTAGCTCTTGGAGGGTTCTGGTAGTAGACTTCTGCACTTCTAATGCACTGACATGCTTTAGAGTATGGCTGACTTAAATCAACAAATGATTATTTGGGTTCATCCACGAAGTGGAATGCCAGTGTTTGGCATGGAAAAGAATCCTTGAATATGGAAAAGTATCATGATCATCCATGATCATTTAGATTTCACATCCGAATTTAGAGATGGAACCCCCGGTATCTGTCTCAAGCTGCAGTTGGTCCACTCCTCATCACGATGGGGCACGCTTGGACCAACGCTAGGTCTGCTAAGTCCAATGGAAGAGAGATACATGTTGCGCTCATCATGGGCGTGCTTTATAGGATGGATCTCGCATGGAACCATGATGACATGAAGGGTCTCCAGTGGAGAGGGATTGACTGGCAGTCCGGTCTCAAGCGTCCAGTTCACCCAGGTCATGTCATGTCACAGCCACATGAGCGAACCGCCACTGCCAGGGCGCTTCGCGAACCTTCTGATCCAGCTGTCGGGAGACTAGATCTGCACCCATGCGCAAAGGCATGACGTCATCCTTGGACCAAAGAGTAAGAGACGTTGCAAAAGGCTTCAGGCGGTGTGCATGACTGTCAAGCGGTGCAGAACCGTTTGTTGCGGATTTGCAAGCAACTACCCCGAGGCCATTTTCATCCATATTCTACTTCCATCGTTTTGTGGAGCTTGGGTGGGATTTGATCAGTTGTTTATTCCATGCGTGCTGAGAGTACGTGCACGCTGGGTGGCTTTAACACAACACACTACACACCATCTTCCGTCATGAGAACAACAAGGGTCATCTCGAAATGATGGGCCTCCTCAACCTGCAATAATGGATAAAATTGGTTTATCACTCCCCATCGAACAATCATGGAAGTGGAAGAGGGCTTTTTAAACCATTGTCCTTTCCAAAAGAAGCTCCTGATCCACTTGCATGTTGCTTAGACTACCGCATTCTCTCTGAATTGTTTTTCTTCCGCAATCTCCACCGGATTCCCATGGAAATGCACGCAAGGAACAAACCTAAACTTTTAATTTTTAAGACACATGACATCTCATGACATTATGCATTTCAGAGTTCTCATTATTCAATTTAATTCAATCAATGATCCTATGTTCAACAAAAACCGCCCGACAAGAAAAATCACGCACGAGGATCATAAAGAATCTGCACGGCCGACACCAGCGATGGGATCCGCAAGCCAGCTTTGATCCTGCGGTCGAGTTCCGTCGAGTTCCGGCGTCGCTCGAAAAGGACGGGAAAAGCACGTCGCACGTCCCCTCGCAACCCAGGGTGGGGAGAAAAAGGTCGAGCAATTGGAACGGCATTATTGGAATGTCTTGCAATATGTCTTAAAATCTGACATTTTGACACGTATTTGCACTTCAATGCGTGTCTGAGTTCGTATGTGCCTCATGAAGCGAATTCGTCATAGGGAGGTCGATGTGCGGACCAGAGTCGGTTGGACCGGAGTGATCAGCCAAACACGACGGGACGACGGCATTTCGACGTTCAAATCATCTCATGTAGGCTCTTGAGGACGTTTAACCCCCCCAAACATGGGATTGGTAAGACCTCTTCAATATGCGGGGTTGATGATATAATCAAGAGTCTACATTACACATACTGTAATCAATGGGCCAGTTGATTTCAGGAACTCAATGGGGTCCCATACTGGGTCCCGGTGGATGCCAGTTCGAGTGACGCTCGTTCAAGATACCTCAAAATTCCTCAAGAAATCTTGGAAAATCGATGATCATGGACTCTTCAGTACCGAAAAATCACATGACCTAGGACCTAGGACCTAATGTTTAGCCATCCACCGAACGTCAAAGACTCAACGACCGTCCGCCATCGCGGCGCGGTCCCTTTGAGCAGCTTCCGCCATCGTGGCGGAAGGCACGCCAACCTCGATGGAGCGAACACGCGCGCATGACCGAGGAACTGCGAACCGGAGCTGTGCTGCTGGGGGGTTCCCGGAGCTGCTGTCACCCAAAAGAAGAGCTCCGTTTGAATCCAAGAAAAGGAACAAACAGACGAGGTGCAAAAATATCTATGACTCTTAGCAGCAAACTCACTCTTCGAGTTATATCAGCTGAAATTAAGAAAGTCGCTCGCGATCGGTGTAGTTGGTGCATTGCGCCACGTAGCCTCAGAGAGGCTACGAAGCCGTGGAAGTCGGCACCACATCACAGCCAAGTCCGAATGCGCATGTCTTGATCAATGCACCCGGGCAGATTAACATGGAAGACCACAGGGTAGTAGAGCAAAATCGTCTTCCACAGGTCCATTTTCAGGTTCCAGGTTGTTTTCGGGAGTGTACACTTCCTGAAATACTCCTGGAAGTGGATGGCATGGCCTCTTGGATGAGCATTGTCGAATACCAAACAGGTGGTGAACTCCACTTCCAAGCTAGTGACTCGGAGAGTAACCCCCTGCAAGAGATCAAAAAATCAATGTCCAAAGATATCCATGTATCGCGGGGTGTTGATTTTCAAGACATGGCCTAAGTGTTTCCGTAGAAATCTAGAGACCAAACCATTACTGCAAGCGCTTGCCGCGCCGCCTTTAGTTCGACCACCACATGAAGCAAGCTTGCCACCTGTGGAGTCTGTGGAGGCCCATTCGTGGAGATGGTGGAGGCTTCACAAAGCATTGAGGCGATCTAGGAAGCAAGTTCCACTCTACAAAGCACCCGCAAAAGGGGAAGAGTGAGCAAAAACTGATATTCCAAGTAAAAATAATCAGGCGCCTTGCTTCTGTCACTCATTTTGCCAAGGGACTTTCAAACTTATCTTGGTTGCTCTTGCCAAACCAAGCTCTTCGGATGCTTCTGGAGGTCCGAGAACCTTCCAAAAAGGGTGATTCAAAGCTCAACACAACCAAGAGCTTCACTGTCTCGTCTGCGGATGGCCACGAACGTGTGCACTGTACAACAAAATACATAAACATACGTGATCAAATCTATATATATATATATATGTTGTAGTATGAGTCAAACTTTGCATGGTGAATTCGGAATCTGGTGATGTCCGTTTGCGTCATTTTTGCGGGCCAAGCCCAAATAGGTAAGTGCTTTCACATGAGCATGTAGTACAATATAGTGTTTACATAAAAATCACAGGTCACTCAGATTCAGGTCACCCACTCAGCTGCACAATGCTGCACAATCATGCCGAAACCATCAAAGGAGAGCATCGCAGGGGAAGACACTAAGCATGGAACCCGGACAGAGAGGTATCACAAAAATGAGTCCAGGAAGATCAAAGATTGTAAAGACTGCAACCTTTTCTTATAAACCAACTGGAGGGATGTTTTTGCAATGCTGTTGAAATAGCTATGATGATCAACAGTTCTTGCAATTCTATATCCAAACCTCAGTAAAACGTCCCGTGTCACGACAATGTGTCACACTCTGCTTCCACAATGAACCCGCCTCTGCGAACACTTGCCACCAGCACTGCTAGCGACGCCACCACGGGCGCACGAAGACGCGCGGTGGGCGTCTGCCCCAGCGGTGGCTGTGTGCCCAACGGATGGCAAGCAGGACTCAATAGCAACCTGGCGAATCAAAGGATTCGGATCCAACCCGATAGGCCTCCAACCTAATAGCAAATCAAAGGATTCCGAGAGATTTAAAGGCTGGACAGGCGAAGACGGCCTGGACCGTTCCCGTTTGGTTGGATGCCCCCGGGCTATAGACCTGGCCGCGTCCGTTTCCAACGATGTTGAAAATGCTTCCAGGTTGCGACTACGAATGCCCAACGGCCCAAACACCCACCCTATCCACGCCCCCATCGGCGCATGCGACCCGATCGCTTAAGGGACTTTTTCGACCTCATGCGCCGTCACTGAAGGGAGCCCACAACACTGCCAAGGACAAAGGGACGTCGCGATGATGCTCATCGCGAATTCTCTGCTGCATCATCTTCAGAATTCCACCTGAAAACGCGATCATCTGATGCACTTGTGACATGCGATGTCTATAGACTGATCAGAAAAGTGGCTTTTGCGTCAACAAAAAGGTTGCTTCAAAGGTTACGTGATGTCTTCCTACAAGCAACCCAGGATGGCGAGACAACGAACGACAGGCACAATATCATCGTCCATATGTTGCAAGAGATCATCTGCAACAGCTTCTTGCAATGCATCAGATGGCTCTCTATGGCAACTGGCATTGAACCTAAGTGAAGGTTCTCTGAGGCCAAAGTCGGGCGGCATTTGACTAGGCTAGACCCAAGAATGGTAAAGATTCTCTTTCATATCATAGGCGTACAGGAAGGGTTGGATACACTTCCGAGAAGACCCAAACCGCCTAGCCCAAAAACCCAAAGAACAAAGCATCTCAAGCCGCTCCAAAGCACAAACCGCGAATCACCCGCGCCACCTCTTGGGAATGCCCCTTGATCCCAAAGCGAGCTGCTAAGGTGGCCACAATGTCATCCTCCGCGCCCGCAGCTAAGCAACCCACCATTAAACACAAGGCTTGACGTTTCTCCTCCTCCAGGCAGATCGTACTCCCCCAGTCCAAGATCCACAGAGTTCCATCGCCCCAGCGGAAGTTCCCCAAGTGCGGGTCCACATGTGCCAAAGCGGAGCTGCTTTTGCAAAGCATCAACCAACCTTTGTTGATTAGGTGACAACGAGTTCCATCGAAATGGAAGAAAACTGATAGGAGGCTATGAATTCTGTTGATACTCCCAGACTTGCCAGAATGCTACTCAGTCCATCTCCGAAGCATCCGAGATCGGTTGAATCCATCGCCCTCTTTTTCAGAACGACCAAAGAATCTGCGCCAACTGGGCACATCCCATGGAAAAACCAAGCACCTCCAATTACTGTATGACACCCAGGAACCCATGAAAGGCACCACGAAGGACACAAACACCATGGCAGCTTCTTGGGGTCGACTGGAGACCAGCTGTTGCAATGACTCGCCACCTGCCCAAGTCATCATCAAGGCAAACGCCTCGGAAATGAAAAAACGATCTGTGCCAATAAACAGCTAGAAAGACTTGTCACCACATGTCCTATATATAATTACTTCATATTGCTTCTAATATTAGGAACAAGAAGCTACTAGGGGCTCCTGGCATGGCTACTAGGAACAAGAAGCTGTAGCCAGTCACTGGGAGTGAGCGATTTGAACATCTTTGAGGAAAACCGACTCACAAACAACCTCTCATTGATTTGATGCGGTATCAACATGCCCTCACCTCGAAAGTGCGTATGTTCATTCCTGGTTTGGGCAACAGGATGTGGCGTTCGAAAGCGTCGTCAGTTCGGGATGACCTCGTCAACTGTTGCCTGGTTGACACCCGAGATGCAAAGCCTTTTGACGATGTTGCCAAGCCGAAACGATAGAGGCACCTGAAATAGGACCAAAGGTAGTTCTTCGCTCGTCTTGAAGTAGGCGGGTTGGCTCTTTTTCTCTACGGTAGGTTGGCTGCATCGTCGTTTTAAAGCATTTTTGAGCAAGTTCAAGCCAAGAGTCAGTGACGTAGCCTTCTACCGCTTCGGGAACTGCTACGTGCCAAGTTCTGGATTGCTCTGTGGACATTGTGAGGAGTGCTCTTATCTCATTGGGCATGTCGGTGAGCTCGTTGATGGTGTGGATCATGGAAGCTTGCCATTGCTGATAGCGTCTTGGCCAAAGTCCAAGCAGGTCACTCGCCATGCTCATGGCACGGGCCTAGCATCTTTGAATTGTTTTCTGGTGCAGGACACCTCGTTCAAGCCCCAACGGTCTATGGAAACCAAGCTGCAGTGAATTGTTTGGGCCCCGGTTGACGCATACTAGGTACTTAACAAACCATGCGTGTGATCCGGCTCTGGTCCACACCCTATGTGGGAGAGAACATGAGGAAACTACAGTACCGTGCCTCATGCATCAAGTCGAACTCTCGCAGTACACTTTTCTCATTCTTTCCAACTGCATCGAACATCGAGGACACGATGTTGGCCTTCTCATCATTCAGCTTCAATGCTTTCAGGATCGCTTTGGCATGTTCAAAGAGTCGGAAGTCGGTTTGGAAACGCTGGAGATTATCCGGAAACGTGACCTTAATCGCCAATCTCAGCTCGTGCAAAGACAGTGCATGCACCTGTGCAATGGTCCCCGCATTGATGGCATCTTCAATTCCCAGAACTGCCTCTGACCAACCGAGCCCTTCAAGCATGTGTTTCACTTCAATCAAAGGACGACTGGGCATATCTTCCAAACATCTTGCGAATCCTGCAAGAACTTCAGGATCTTGAATCCTTAACTGTGCACTCAGAGCTGGTCCATGCAAACTGCCCATGGCCGATGGCATGGAGTATGAGTAGCCCTAGGAACCCCTCTTCCCTGGGAATCTGGTGGTTTTATGTGGTGGGTCAATGTGGGTCAACACCAGGAGAGATTGGTTGACCTATCTGGAAGGTCAAGCTACATCCAGGTTTTGACCAGCCCCGTGTAACGCTTTGCTAGATAAGTACCTATAGACCCTTGGTAGAGGGACAGCGGAAGGTCAGGCGAAGATGAGAACCGTTCCGAGCATCAAATCAGCACGAACTGAGAGCACTTGTGCGAACTTCGGAAAGTAGCCCCCAGCACGACGTATCCAAGATGGGAAGAAATCATGCGGTAGTGCTGTACCAGGATTGCCTCAATTGAGCAAAACCAACAACGGTTCTGAAAAAAATGCGTGTTGTGCCGCACTTTGATGGAAACTATAAGTAGATCTAAGAAGTCAACGGTCTAATCAACGGTGCATGAAACCGGGCTCGGTCGATCTTTCACATCTGAGAAGTCTCGTGAAAACGCTGCTTCAACTCAAGTGGCCCCTTAGGTATGCTATACATTCCATAGCAATTTGCAGCAAACATATTATCCCAGGGCGTCCAGTCACCACGATGCCGCTGGTAACCAGTGGTTCGAAGGACTAAAACCATAGACCGAACGAATCCCTGGTTCCTCATATATAGAGGTAACTGGGATTTGCTGGGTATTATAGCCTTATAGCCCTATAGCTCTTCGAAACAGGGGAACACCCGATGTCCTGTCGATGGTCTCACAAAAGGCCTCACCTTTGGTCCATCAACAATATTGTAGATTCTAGATATCTCTTGGCACACAGGTACGTACAACCAATGGCTGTGTATTTTGCCATAGCGGGACCTCCCTGGCCCAATGGATGTGAGTCACTGTGTCCCTCTCAACCAGGGGATCTTCGGGAGGTTTTTTCTAGTTGAGCTACACACCCATATCAACAGCTGTCACTTCCTCCTTTTTTGGATGCCCTTTCCCGCTGTCATGTCTCATTCGTGTCGACCCCCGAAGATCGGATGAGGTCTCGCCGAAGGGCTTAGGGTCTGAATGAGTCTTGGGAAGTCGTGCTTCGAGACCAGCTCCAGCAAGCGAGCCCCTTGCCTCAGCGGCGAATGTGTTTGGGGCGACTTGGCGACCAAAACGTCGTGCCCGCCCCACAAAGAACATCTTCTCACACCCCAAATGCAACTGAGAGCTCAACCAACCAAGCTGGGGGAACACCTAAGGGATCCTAAGGGGGGAACACCTATGCCTTCCTATGCAAAACCGAGAGAAAGATCTCGAAACACCACCGGCCCAGTCCAGTTCCATACCGTGGTGAACCGTGACCGTTCCCCGCTAAAGCTGAGGTTCAGCAAGGAAGGGACTGTTTGGAACGGAAGGGTGTCCTGAGCAGGTTCGGGGGGGGCACTCCTCAAAGAATCCCTAACTGAACCGCAAACTGCGGTGAAGTTCCTTTGGGAGACTGTAAATTTAGCAGCTCAGAGTTCCTTTTGGGTTCCATTCTGAAAGCTGTTCGTGACTTGTCAGAAACTCAGACACGTAGCTAATTAAGAGATCAAGTAAGAGATAAGAGCCCTCCACATCGCATGGTGTTGATCGGTACTGTTATATACAGGTCCGCAACACGCTGCGCAACTTTGGGCAAGCAACTCCACTGGATTTGGTCATGTTTGGTACTTTACTAAGATGTACTGAGCGTCTTCATGCCGTGAGCTTAACTATCCCCCTTTCAGAAACCGTCGCCCATCTGTCATAGGTCCCCAAAAACTACACTCTGAGGGTGCTTTGGTTTGGCAGGGGAAAACATACATCAGGCTTCAAGTCGTGCCCTTCTTGAGGTCATTGAAGGAAGGCCTCCTTTTGAGACCTGTGGAGTATCAAAAGGGAGACCTTGAGGCACCGCCTTGCAAAAGTCTTTGAGACTTCTCTGGGGCACCACCTGTGACTACTCATTCTTTTTTCTCTCTCTCTCTCTCTCTCTCTCTCTTTCTCTCTAAAGCCGCCGGATCGCTGGGGATCTCGTGTGATGTGTCCCAGCACGCCCAAACTCGCCGCAGAGGTGTCAATCACACGTGAGACCTCAATTCCCGGAGTCTTTTTCTCATCCAAGTCGGCCACTTTTTCTGGCCCAAGTCAAAGAGAATGAACAAAGCATGGACAAAAAATGACAAAGCATGTTGAGCTTTCTTCATTCCAGCTTTTCCTTACGCCATGAGACCTGTTGGGGACATCCCTACCCTGGCCAAGAGCGATGCAATGGCGTTCCCATGCCAACAGGCCTCTTTATTGGGGGGGAAGGTTGCTCGTTTAGAGTGGCGTTTGACGCAGGTCAAAAGGTGACTCTTCCTAGAGCAGCGGCCTCTTCTAAGACTCCAGAGGCATTGCTTCCCATGGCTGAGAGCAGCGGCGCAGGGATGCGCCGTAAAATGTGCAAAAGCACTGTGAACTCGTCTAGTAGGATCACGGTTTTTAGAAGGCATCAGTCTGATGTACAACATGGTGCAATTCTTTCCAAGCTGTCAGCACTTCACCAGCAGTCAGTCTACTTTGCAAAGTGACAAGTGCCTCCGGAGCATCAAGTCAACAAAACTTCCATGTACTGGATATTCACGGAGAACTGAGGTTCAGTTGAAGGACACATTGGAAATGGGTCCGGGCCGAAGCTCACCTGACACCATGGAAAGTGGACATCCCTGGAAGATGCTTCTGATTTCACTACGAGAGGGAGATGAGGCAAGCCAAGTTGAGCAATTGACCAACATCCTAGGATCTGTCACAGAAAAAGCACAATATCAATCTTCAGGCCACATCTACTCCATGTATGGAATCCACCAACCCCGCCTCTTGGGGGTGTTGGTCCCCATCGGCAGCGATGGGAACGCACCGTCTTTTGACAAATCGTGAATCTTCCAATGCCGTGCCAAAACCCCCAAGGGTATTACGGTGCCTTTGGGATAAATTGAGTCCAAACCCATTGAAAGACCAATTGAAAGTCCATTGAAAGTCCAAACCCATTTTACGGTGCCTGAGGAGTGGGCTCCTCACCCATCTCGCTCACTCCTACAGTATTCACCCACCTCGCCTCGACCACGTCACCCGGGGCGAAGCCACCAGGCCAGCCATGGCGGATCGGTTCAGAGCGTCAGTGATGCAAAATCCCGATGTCCATGGATTTGGAGGGAGTGGTTTGCCATGTTGGTGCTTTGGAAGCACAAGGACGATGAGTCGGATGGCGGATCGGACGATGTCATTCCATGTTTGGGAGGCTAGGGATGGCTAAGGCAAGTGGATTACACAGAAATCAAGACATGGACAAAGTATTTGTTCAGGACATGTTCATGTTGAGGCTAAAAAGGGCTCCCGGCACAAAGCATCGGAAAGCGTGGGTCGACTTGGGCGAGCAAAATCTGCAAGTCATAGTCCTGAATATTCATTACATCGTGCACGGTATAGATTGATATTGATGTTGGTCTACAGTCATTCTTCAAAGGCTTAAAGCATATGGAACTGTTCAAAATCATATAGGGAAATGTAGGGAACAAGGATGTTAGTCTATTCTGTCCATGAATGTTCCTGTCTCCCTCTCCACTTTTCCACTCAGCACTTTTCAGATGGCTGCTCATTCCTAGGTGTTCCAGTTGGCGGCACACAGAGACCCATCCCCGAAAAACTTGGTGCCCAGGGTCCTTGTCGGTGTCCTTGTAGAGCACCTTCAGAAACAACATCTCCAGAATCCGCACAGGCTTTTTGTCCATGTCCTGATCACCCCACAACCCAACAATCACCCCAACGATCACAACCGATGAGGCGCGGGCCAGGCCTCACCATCCCCCCAAAAAGCATCAAGCGACTCGAGGCCTCATGCGAGCCCAACCTAAGAACATGCAGCTCAAGAGTTGGGGTTCCCGGAGCAACCCAGCAGCTCATGAGAAGAATCTGTCCCATTTGCCAGCATTGCTTTCTACACGTGGTGATCCCGTGCAGCAACAAAGGCACGCCCCGTCCAGTCCAGCTCCAACCAGCAAAGCCCTTGCTCCAACTCGGCATAGAGATCCGACAGCTTCCTCCACCCAAACACGGACGCGGACCGAGAGAGCGCGGTGGACGCGCTCACGAGTCCCGAGGACGGGCTCGACATGTGGTCGGCCTCGACATGCAGAAACAAGCTCGGTCCTATTGATGTGTATGGGTTGGGTGTATCATGGTGTATCCCAGTATCGAATGATGATGATGATGATGATGATGATGATGATGATGATGATGATGATGATG